AACTGGAGGCATCTGTTTTGGAATGAAAAAGAGATAAATCTAACATCAACAGTAGAGGACTTTATTATTTATTTATTTATTTATTTATTTTTGGTCTTTTTGAGACAAGGTCTCCCTATAGCCCCAGCTGTCCTGGAACTCACTACATAGACCAGGCTGGCCTTGAACTCAGAGAGATCCGCCTGCCTCTGCCTCCCAAGTGCTGGGATTAAAGGCATGGGCCACCACTCCTGGTTACAGTAGAGGACTTTAATTTTTTTGATAGTTACCAAATTGGTAACTGAGATGTTTGTGTCAAATTATGTAATATGTACTTTTATGCTTCAGTATGCCTTAATGTGGTTGGTGTATTGCTGTGATGAACCAAAATGATTAAAAGTAAAAACTGGCTGGAGAGATGGCTCAGCAGTTAAGAACACTGGTTGCTCTTGCAGAGGACCTGGGTTTGACTCCCAGCACCCACATGGCGACTAACAACTGTCCCAGTACCAGGGGATCCAGCACACTCTTCTAGTCTCTGTGGGCATTGCTTACACAGGTGCGCCTACATACATGCAGGCATAGCACTCATACATAAAATAAATTTTAAAAGTATTTCTTAGGAATATAACCATGAACATCTAAATCTTAAGTATATTAAACATGGCAATTCATACTTCAGAGGATGTTTGTACTCAGTGCCTTATTAGTCTTGGAACATTTTAATGTTTTTTTTTTTCTTTACTGGTCATTGACATAAAAATTTTCACTCTTTTGTACTTGATTCTTAATGTATTTTAAAGAAAACTGGTATTTTTAAGTTATTTTTTATGTGGATGTGTGTATTACCTGCTTGTAGGTAAGTGCACCTGTGTCGTGCAATGCCCACAGAGGTCAGAAGAGGCTGTTGGATCCCCTGGGACTGGAGTTACGGACATTGTTAGCTGCCATGTGGGTGCTGGGATTCAAACCTGGGTTTTCTGCAAGAACCAGTGTTCTTAACCGCTGAGCCATCTCTCCAGCCCTGAAAATTAGTATTTTTAAAAAAAGCCTATGCTCCTTTTGTTAAATTAGCAGCCTGATCACCTCTCTGGCAAGTGTTGCTCCCTCTGCCTTTATGCCCAAGAGCCAATAAAATGGAGCCTTGCCTGTGGTATGCTTGGATCCTAGCTTGGGGCCATAGGCTATAATCCCAGCTACTCTGAAGGCTGAGGCAGGATGATCAAACCTACAAGGCCTGCCTGGGCAATATACACTCTGTCTCAAAGATGGTTGGGGATATGGCTCAGAAGAGTACCTAGCATATTCAGTACTAAGTACTGCAAAAGACAAATAGTCTGACTTGGTCATTTCTACTGTTTCCATACCATAAAATCCTGCTGTCAGTCTAAATTTTAAGCCCATGGTTATTTGTCTCGATCCATCTGGGCCCATTGTGAGGCAGCACCTCACATAAGGGGGGTATGTGTGGACCAAAGCAGCTCATCTCAGCAGGCATGGGGGGCAAGGTGCGCAGCTGGATCAAGAAAATAGATCCCCACAGCATGGCCTCAAGGCCCTGCTCTCTTGAAGGAGGTCCTGGCTTTCCATCTTCTAATAGACCATCAGATTATGAACCCATCAGTGGATTAATCCACAGAGGTCAGAGGCCTCATGATACAATCTCTTACCCAAAGCTCCCCATCTAGTTGAAAATTTCATGTATATGAATGTTTTGCCTCAGTGTAAGTGTACCATATATATTCACTTAGACAAGTTCTCATGTAGCCCACTACCACCTCAAACTTGAGCTAAGGATGACCTTAAAAACTCTATCCTCCTGCCTCTACCTTCTGAGTGCTGGGGTTACAGGTATGTACCACCAGTTTCTGTGGTCCTCAGGATCAAACCCAGAGTGTTGTGCATGCTAGGCAAGCACTCTACCAATTGAACTTCATCCCCAGTCTGCATTTATTGACCTTTCTATGCCAGATCTCAAGTGTTGAGCCAGTCCTCTTTATAATGGTTTTCTTGAACTTGTCAGTTAATCCCAATAGTTATAGTAGGTGAATCAAGTTTCTTGACACAGTACACTCACTAAGCCAAAACAGATGGCATTCAAATATTTATGGCCCCTTATAAATTTGACTTTCTGACTTTGAGAAAGTAACTTACATTCAGTAGAAACTGCACTTTGAACTCTTTTCCTGGGCTAATGTTTCTTATGATGCTGGCAATATATCACAAGGGTCTTTTGGATACAGGTATTTAATAAACAATTAAGGTATTTAATGTGATGCTCTCCCTTGTAGTCCCAGCTGGCCTGGATGTGTTATGAAAAAATCAGACTAACAGCCAGTCAGGTGAAGAGAGGGAGTTTAATTTCACACTAACAGGACTGACCCACGGATCCTTCCATAAAGGAGTCAGACCCCTTGTTCAAGTTTTGGGGGCTTTTATACGCATATGTGAGGAATGCAAACAAAAGGTACACAGCATATACTCAGGTGAGGAATGCAAGCAAAGGCTATAGGAATGTGAAAGCCTTGGAAAACAAAGATTTCTATCCTGGAGATTCCTGTTCATTTCCCCATTTATATCTCTAGGCTTTTCCTGCTCCAAAGTTCTTAACTACCATCACATTGCAAAAGCTTTAATGTGCTCTTGTATTTACATTAAGATGGAGCTCACTGTGTAAACCAGGCTGGCTTCCACCTCACAGAGACCTGCCTCCCCCACCTGGAATTAAAGGTGTGTGCCATCACAGCCTCAGATACCTTTATACTTAAAAAAAAAAAAAAAAAAAAAAAAAAGTTCCTACCTTCTTTATTTACAATTACACTTTTAAATACTATTGTTTATGGTACAGGAGATTTCTGTTTTGAGATGATATCTCATGTAAACCAAACTCATTATGTAGCAGAAGCTGACTTTCAACTACTGATCCTGCCTCTACCGGTGCTGGGGTTTCAGGCTTACACCACCACTTAGCTTCTGAAGATTTAAGATAAACTTGCAAAACACTCAGAATATGAAAATGAATATTGATAGGTAACTTCAGATTTCTAGTTGAGTAATTTTAGTTTACTTGATGGAGGTAATTATTTCTGTTGCTGTAACAAATTTCCTGATAGAGGAAGGTTTACTTGGGCTATTTCATAGGTTGTCATCCTATGGTCAGTTGGCCCTGTCAGTTTGGGCCTGTGGCAGAGACCCTGGCAGGAAGGCAGCACATGGCTGGAAAGGAATGAGGCCATGGCTCCAGTTCTCATGAGGGCTTGCCCCCAGTGACATAACTACTAGGCTCCACCTCCAAAGGTTCTACCACCCCCCAACAGCACCAGAGGCTGGCAACCAAGCTTTCAACACATGGGCCTTTGAGCTCCATTTAAAGCTGGTGTGCTATTTGGGGAGGTTATGGAGTCTCTAGGTGTAGCCTTGCTGGAACAGTGTATCACTGGTGTCAGGTTTTGAGTGTTCACAGCCTTGCCCACTTCCAGAACTCTGCTTCATGTTTGTGGTTCAAGATGTAAGCTCTCATGCCTTCAGCTTCCTACCCTGCCTCTTCACCATGATGCACTCTTACCCCTCTGGAACGATAAGCCAAATATAAACTTAAGTTACTTTTGGTCATGGTGTTTTATCACAGCAACAAAAAAACTAATACAAAGACAAAAAAACAAAATGATGGGAATGTAATTAAAGGCAGATACTCAAACATTTGTCATTGTTTTAAGCACAGGACAATTCAGCCTGTTCTAGTATTCACAGGACAGAAAATCATATGGCAGTAAGTTGCCCTTGAGCCTTAAGTGGAAGAAATGTCTCCACGTAGAGGTGTAAATGTCTTTACCCTCCTTGTGTAGTCCTCCCATATGCAATCCTATTATCACACAGAAAGCCACGGAGTTTTGAAATAATTTTTTTAAAATAAAAGCATAGGTGCTTTACTGTCAATTTTATGCCTAGGTGGCTTGTGACCTCAAATAGTAAAGGTAAAGACAAAACTATATATTTACTGAAATAAGTCCACTGCCGGGCATGGTGGTGCACACCTTTAATCCCAGCACTTGGGAGACAGAGGCAGACGGATCTCTGCATAGCGAGTTCCAGGCTACAGGGAGACCCCGTCTCAGAAAGACCAAAAAAAAAAAAAGCACTGATAGAAATGACTAACACTCCTTGGGTGCCAGAAACAGTTTAGCCTATCATTGAGAGAAACTGGGTTGCCTTACCTCCTGGCCAAATGAAAACTGGTTAATTCTGCTTTGCTAATAGCAACAAATCTGGGTAAAACCAACTGTTCCTCCTGTTTTGCTGCTAGCAAAGAGAAACAGCCCTCTTGAAAATCTACCTTTACCCCAAAGGGCAGCTTCTATATGGCATCAGACTTTTAATAGCTTCACTTAGTTCTTTGGTTTTATGCTAGAATCCACTTGCTCCAAGAACATCTGTGCCATTTTTCTGTTTTCAATGTACTAGCTTGTACATGGGAAGAAGCAAACACCTGTATCTCTACAACTTTCTGCATCTGAATTTTTAGGTAACTAGAAGCCTGTCTTCTCTCCCCACCCCACATTACCAGTTTTTATAGTATTTGGACATTTCTGGTCATTCCAAAAGGTTCTTTGAACATAGCAGATTCTGTACTGCCTTTTTATAGTCCTAATTTTAACCAAGTAGTAAAAACTGGACAAAAATATTAAAATAGTTGCGGTTCATTTTCACTTTAACAGTATAAAGCTGTAGTGCATCTTCCACACGCCTATCTTTATTCCAAGGGGCACAGGATTCTGGCAGTCAGCTTTACAGAAATCTATAAACAATCTATATTGAATTATATGATGGTATTAAGTTTTCAAAACAGGTTTGTCCAGTTAAGGGAGATAGAAAATGCCGTGGCTTGCTTTGTGGATCTTAATTGCGAAATTTCTTCTTTTTTCGGAACCTTTTTCCTGCCGCATTTGCTGCTTTTTCAGCCATGATCTCTGAATACTTCCTTCGGTTAAATCTGCAAAGAAACATCAAACCTTTATGTTCTCTAAAGCACAACACACCAGGCGTTAGACGTTAATATATTAGGAAGGAGGTTCTAAGCCTCAAAATATTTTGCACGTTGCACCTCATATGCCCTGTGGCTACTGGATGTCAGGAGGCTGATGGAGCAGTGGACAAGAAGCCACAGCCTCTCCTCACACAGCTGTGGTTCATTTTATATTTTGAGATAGGGTCTTGCTACATCTGGCGTTGAATATGCAATGAAACCTAGGCTGACCTTAAATTCTTGACCTTCCTGTCTTGGCCTCCTTAGTATTGGGATTATAAGTGCACCAAACTGCCCATCCAGAGCTTGCAATTTAAAGACTCGTGTATTACATCCTTTTACCAGGTGATGTTAGACATGGGATCCAAATGAGGGGTAAAGATGCAGAAAGGGCAAAGCAAAACAGTTTACATGTATTGAAAACACAGTGTTACTGACATTTCTTAAGACTCTTACAAAACACCATTCCAGATAAGACCATTTCAAGTGGTCTGTTGAATAAAAAGTATTTTCACAAAACAATCAGGTATTGATTGTCCTTTTAAACTCTCGAGAGGGCACAGTGAAGTTTCCCAAAGGCTGTATGTGTGGTATTTGCAGAAATAAGTATGAAATTCTCTCTTTAGTTATACCAGACACTAATTTTTTTGTTATTCTCATGAAACATATTCACCAATATGTAATACGTTATTTTTAAATGGGTTAATCTGAAAATCTGTAAGTTTGTATGTATTTAAAGAAAAATATACATTATAAATGTAAATCCCATTACCTCCTGAACTCGGAATCAGCCAGCAGTTCTTCCACAAGAGTCTTTTTCCTTTGTTTCTTGGGAATTCGTGAGTGGTAAAAATCTGCTGGATTGTCAACAATGGTTCCAACCTATGAACATTTGATTGAAATAAAGTATGCAGTACTTGAATGTTAATTTCTCCATATCTCAATGTAGATCTAACTGTTATTTGTAGAAAAGAATGTAAACACAAGCTTAAATCACACCAGTGTTACCATTTTTTTAAAGCAAAAATAATCTATTATTAGTACATTGGTGCTACTGATTACATTTCCTAATTAGAGTGTACAGTAGATCAAAATTTTCTTTCATAATTTAGTGCTAAACAGTACAGTAAATTCACGATGAGTAGTATAAAAGAGGAAGAACAGTTAATAGAAACTTGGTTGTCTAAATCAATAAAGTACATATAAATTCTATGTATCTATTTGATTTTATGGGTTATTATAAATACTGCCAGCTAAGAACTGACTTGATAAAGGCTCTACATTTGTACATTCAACTAACTGCAGTTTACAGGATGACTACTGTGTGCCTAGCACTGTGTTTAGGTGATAGGGGACAAAGACAACAACCATCTAGTCCCTTCCTGAAGCCCACAGTTTTACAGAAGATCCAAACAGAAATGAAGAGAGCTATGTAACAAAAGAAAGGGTTGGCAAACTGGTTTGGGTACAGATTACAAAGAGCCAAATTAAGTGATACAGACTGCCTTGAAAGTCAAAGAATTACTAAGAGATAGTCAAGAGTGCAAACTTGAGGATCAACTTGGACTTTCATCTGAAGACAGAAAATCAACTGCTAAATGACTTTCACAGTGCCTCCCTTTCTATGACCTACATGAACACCTGCTCTTCAGCTAGTACTATCATTCATCCATATATTCACAAAGGTTAACAGCTACACTGGAACCTAGCTGCCATTTTAAATAACCTTCCCTATAAATTGAGAACCCATTACAAAATGGTAGCTCTCATACCATCATATAGCCTAAGCAGATATGGCCTACGTACTTGGTATGCACACATAAATACTTTTCCCTATATTAACAGTAAATGCAGTATCACTATGCTACTTTCCAAACGCCCCATAAAATAGTACTCTGTCAGCATCATACCTGGAAGTACTTAGGGAAGCCGTCTCGGTCGTTTTTCTTATAGAATCTTTTTGGGTCCATGCTTGCTCTCATCTTCAATGCTTTGAGATCATTCTTCAGTTCATCCGTCAATTCTGGAGCTTTCATACCAAACCAACCATTACCTGCTGTTTTTTGTCGCTCTTTCTGAAATTCAAATTTGAAAAATAAACATTTTTATTGATTTGTTTTATTTTTATTTATGTGTCTGTGTGTGTGCATGTGTATGCAGGTGCCCGTGGAGACCAGTCTGATCCTCTGAGCTGGAGTTGCAGGTGGTGGTGAGCTGAATGCTAGCGATCTGCTACAGCAGCAAGCATTCTTAACCACTGAGACATCTCTCCAGCCTCAAAATAAACATTCTAATTTTAATACAGAGTGTAGAGAATTCATTTCCCCTAAAAGTGTAAGACAAAACTTTGTGCTCAGGTATGGTAGTGCACACTTTGGAGAGACCAAGGCTGGAGGACTGTGAGTTTAAGATGCCAGCCTGGACAACCCAGAGACCCTGTCCTGGGGGGAGGAGTATTTACAGGGAATGGGGACACAGATAGTTGGCAGTGTGCTTGCCACCCTAAATTTGATCCCCATCACTGCATAAACTGGGTAAGGAAATGCATGCCTGTAACCTCAGCATTTAGGAAGTGATGGCAAGAGAAACAGTTCAAGGCTATCCTTGGCTATATAGCCAGCCTGGGATACATGAGAGTCTGTCTCAAAAACAAGGACAACTTTTCAGAAATCATTTATCTCCAGAAAGTTTGTAAAAGAAATTAAGTCACAAAAAAAGTTTTTCTAGCATAGCATCATCAGGTTTATAAATGAAGGTTCCTCAGTGATGACCTGCTGTGAAACTTAACACACAGCTTCAATTTTTATTATCTAAAAAAGCCCATATAAGGGGTTGGAGAGATGGCTCAGTGGTTAAAAACACTGGTTGCTCTTACAGAGGACAGAGGTTCAGTTCCCAGCACCCACATGGCAGCTAACAACCATCTGTAACCAGTTCCAGAGAATCTGATACATTCTTCTAGTGTCCGTGGACAGCACAGCGCACACATGGTACACTTACATACGTGAGTGTTCAGGTAAAACACTCATACCATAAAATAAAAAATTTTGAGGCTGGGTGTGATGGCGCACGCCTTTAATCCCAGCACTCGGGAGGCAGACGCAGGTGAATCTCTGTGAGTTCAAGGCCAGCCTGGTCTACATAGTGAGTTCCAGGACAGCTGGGGCTACAGGGAGACCCTGTCTCAAAAAGACCAAAAAAAAAGCAATATTTTGAAAAGCCCATGTAAGAGATTATATATTAAAGCCATTTTATTTTAGGGGCTTGTATGGCATTATTTTTTCTTCAATTACTTAGGGGGTCTTAGAAGCTACTTAACTCTCAAGTCCAGAAATTTGTATTATTTCTAAAATAAAACTATTCTTTTGAAAATGTCTACCAAGTATTTTGTTTCATTTATCCAACATTATTTAGCACCATGTGCTGGGGTACTTCTTATTAGGGATCTTACTGTGGTACCATTCTCAACTTTCCTCCAAGCATCCTGTGTAACTGTTTACTAATTCAAATAGTAAAGTAACCCCATTGGCTTCCATCTGCTACAGTTTCTATTTCCTGATTTGTCAGACCAACTAGATCAGGGTTTTAAGTCTGCTAGATTAATTCTGTACAACAGAGCTCCTAACCTTCAGTAAACAGCCAAGAGATGTGGACAGTGTATGCTGGCTGTCACTGGTTAAGATTTTCACAGCTGTATTTGTGGGGCTGGTGCACATGCCACATGATCATGCATAAGACCCTGGGGTTTAATCCCAAGGACCAAACCAAAACCGAAACCTGTATTTGTGTGCACCATTGCAGCTGCAAAGATGTAAAAAGCCATAGTAAACATGCTGATGAGATCATAGCTCATAGCCCTTAGGTATCTGTAATGATTCTGTTTGGACTTGTATTTAGTAGGTCAATACACAGATACAGCGTAATTATACAATCATTATGTAACCTGAAAATACATAGTCCAGCACATATAAATAATAAAAATCATTACTTACCCTGCGTTTTTTCTGAAGTTGATGCTTTGATTCACTATATGGTGGGACACAATAGTTTTTTTCAAAATCAGGTGTAATGATAGCTTTCTGCAGAAGCTATAAAAATATAAAATTATTTTTATACCTTTTTCCCACATTTTAACTTATGTTTAAAAATTTTGTATAATCTTCCTAAATGATTTTTGTACTTTTGTTACTTTCCCAGGATCATTAAACTGTCTCCTAACATTGTATGATTAAAAAGGAACTTCAGTATAATACTTTCTTAGTGCAAAAAGCAAATAAAACCCCTTAGTTCTCAAAACTGTTCACAGAATACTCAAGCTATGCCCTTGAAATGAACTGATTCAGCTGGATGTGATAACACAGGACCTTAATCCCAGCATTCAGGAGGCAGAGCAGAGGCAGGCAGATCTCTGTGAGTTTCAAGCCAGACAGGATGACATAGCAAGACCCTATATCATAAAATATGCGTAATGACAAAACTGGTAAGGTACATGGGGGTAGTATCAGGGGTCTGTCTCAAGAGGAAGAGCTACAGGCAATTACTGGATACTGAGAATCAGTTTTCTGTAGGGGCTAGCTCCCTGAGAGGTTGTCTAATCCCAAATGGACAGCCCTAAACATAGGTATATATGAGTACCATTAAATGGACTCAGTGCATAGTATGTATGCATATTGTATGCCTATGTAACAATAATAAGACAAATTGAGAGGAAGCGGGGGACGTAGGAGGGGTTGGTGGGGGCCTGGGAGGGATGGAAATAAAGCAAAGACAATACTCAGGTATGACATTCTCAAAAATAAATTTTAAAATAATTACTGATTCAGTAATGAGCTCATTAACATTAACTCCTCCCTAAAGTTTTGGGCAATAGAGTAGTAGCAGACTAACTAGGCTTTCCAATCAGAAATACTGAAACCATTAAGAGATTGCTGTATCAAGTCCAAATCTAGGCTCAAGGATGCTAATTCACAATTGGGAGCAACTAACAGTGTTTGGAGATATTTTTGGTACTGGTGAAGAGAAGGGCTCATGCTACTGGTATTTAAAGTGCAGAAGCCAGAGATGCTGCTAAATACCCTACAATACACAGGACACCTCCCACAACAAAGAATCATGTAGCTAAACGACCAGTAGTGCTGAGCCCAAGATCCCCTGTTGGATGAATAGTGGGTATTATAGAAGCACAGAGAAGGTGGGAGGAAGTATGGGGGGGGGGTGTCAAAAATATTGCCCAAGTCAGTGGAATGCCATCTGCACTGGTCTGGGAAAGAGCAGGGTATATTTGGGAAATCACAAGAGTCTTCAATGACAAGAACAAAGCAAATGGACACTAAAGCTACAGTAAGATGTGCCTTTAAGGTTCAAGAGCAGTGAAAGACTTAAGCAGGAACACACTACATCAGATTTGTGTTTTCAGAGAAATCTAAGCTGGCCATGGTGATACACACTTGTAGTAATCTTAGTACTTGGGAGGTGAAAACGAGGATCAGGGATTTGAAGGCAAGTCGAATGACACTGTGTGTTCAAGACCATCCTGGGCTATGAAACCCTGTTTCTAACAAACAAAAATTAAGAATTTTGAAGGGGGGTGGTGTAGAAAGATGGCTCACTGTTAAGAGCACACCTGGGATCTTATGCCTTTGACCTCTGAGGGCACCTGTATTCATTCATGTGCACATACTGACACAGAGACCCTTGTACATACGTATAATTAAAAAAAAAAATGCCCTCCCCCCCTCGAGAAATCTAGAAATAATGGAGTCTATCTTGAGAAAACAAAGAGGCAATACCACTAAGGTTACTAGTCTGCCTAGGTGAGAAATATAGGCCTGTACTAGCAGGTGACAATGGCTCAAAAGGGCAGCTGGGACAAATGACCGCCAAGGGGAAAGAGACTCTGGTGTCATTAACCAGAGAGAATATAAAAGTAGAAGCTAGCTGAGACACAAAGGAGAGATAGTGAGGCCAAATGCCTGAGCACCTAGATTCTAAGGTCTGAAATTAAGTCCTCAAGACTACAAGATTCAGATCTGGGCAAAAGTGGTATATGGTATTGGTTAAAGCTAAAGAAACCAGGTTTCTCCAAACTGCAATGCCTTTTAAATTGTCCATACACACTTTCCAGTAGGGGTGGGGCAGAGAGGGGTAGGCTGACATTCATACCTTTCAGATTCTCAGCTGAGTTAAAAACAGGTACAAATTGAATAGAGGGCCAGTGAGATGGGTGAGTGGGTAAAGGTGCTTGCTGTTAAGCCACAGAACCTTGAGTTTGATCCCTGAATCCACATGGTGGAAAGAGACCTGGCTCCTCCAGGTTGTCCTCTGACCTCCACATGTACATCATGACACATGCATGCCCACACATATACACACTAAAATAAATGCTAAAACAAAACAAAAAACAACCTGAAAATACAGCAAGAAAAGAGAAGAAAATAGATCCCTGGGACCATTAACTGGTGGATGCAGGAAGAGAAATGCTCATCTTGAATTAATTTATTTGAAATATCTCTTGCAGATAAGACTTGTTTTTAAAAAATACTCTAATGAGATGGAAAAGGAGTACAACAAGCCAATGCAGTTTTACAAAACACAGGAAAGGAGTCTTTGCAAAGACTAAGCATTTCTAAGAGGACAAGGGCATTTCATGTAGCTTACCTCATCTTTCTTTTTCTCCTTGATCTGTGTTACTGTCTTCTTGTGAGACTGCAGTTTGTCTGCATTGAAATTAATATACAAACCGCCCAGCTGTTTGATATTCAGACCAGGGTCTATGGTGCTACTTGTCAGCTTCAGACTGAAAGAGAAATGATGATTTAAATAAGACAAAATGCAAAAGAAGATTGCATTTTAAGTTAATGTGGGGGATTATAGATTATTTTTCTCATACTTTTCCATATTTTTCAATTTCTGTATAATTAATGTCTAGAAAAAAAGTTGCTTTCCTGTCTCTTGTATGCTCAAAAAAATCAGGAAACTCTTTTTTTGTGTTTGTGTTCAAGTGTTTGCATGTATGTGTGCTGATGTACATGCACATGTATGTGAATAAGGGGGCCAGAAGTTGACTCTAAGTATCTTCTCTTTGCACTTTCCCTCTGCCTTACATATTGAGGCAGGATCTCACTTGAACCCAGAACTCAGATTAGCTAGTCAGCTTGCTCTGGGGAATCTCATCTCTACCTCCCAAGATTACAGGCAGGCCACCATACCTGCCTAGCACTAACATGAATGCTGGGGATTTTATGGCTCTTTATCTCTGATTCATCTCCCCAGCCCCCACAGATGATTTCTGATAGATTAGCAAAGGGGCACTTTTAGCTATCACTGTGGGAACAATGTAACTGCCATAGGTCTCACAAAGATGAGGGAAATGCTAGATGGAAGAGCTATCCATACTGAAACCACCATCTCCTGTTTTCTAGTTTTTCATATTTTTGTGGTAAATCAACCACTGGACATATACATCAAAAAAATGGGGGAGGGGGTGCTGGAGAGATGGCTCAATAGTTAAGAGCACTAGTTGCTCTTGTAGAGAACCTGGGTTGGGTTCTCAGCACCCACAGGGCAGCTAACAATCAGCCAAAACTTCAGTTCCACAGGATCAGATGCCCTCTTCTAGCCTCCAAGGGCACTGCATACATGGGTATGCTGATATACATGCAGGCAAACACTCATACACATAAAATAAAAAAACATTAAAAATTTTAAGAATTTATTGTGTGTGGGTAAATAAAGCTGTTCCCAGAAGCCATACATTATTATATGAAAAACTCCAGTGCCAGAGATATGCTTACCCCCTAATAAGTTGTTGGTCAGGAGGCCTCTGAGGCCCCTCAAAACCAATAGGCTACTACCACTTATGGTAAGTTGAATGAGAAACGGTTCTACACGCTCCAAGTATTTGAACACTGTCCTTTGGGAGGCTCAGGCGTACAACTTTGCTGGAGGAAGCACAACACTGGGTGCGGGCTTTGAGAGTGCATGGCTTTCACCACTACCAGTTGCTTGTTCTGCTTCCTATGTATGTTTAAAGATGTGAGCCCTCAGCTCTCTGCTCTGGCTGCCTCTTAAAACCATGCCTCCCCATGAGGATGGACACTTATCCCTCTGGAACCCTAAGCCAAATAAACTCTTCCTTCTATAATTACCTTGGTCGCGGTGTTTCTATCACAACAACAGAAAAGTAACTAATACACCACTGTTGCCCACTAGAACTAAGATGTTAAGACCTCATTGCTGAAGACCTAATGTGCTTTGGTTACAGGACATAAAGAAACCAAGCTGAACTGTGCTGAAACCTTTCCTCCCTGTTAGCTAGTTTTCACAATGGTAGAAGATGCTATGCAGGCTGCTTGGGGAGAAAAGTCATCAATGGTTTTAGCTGTGGACCTTATATGCTACCAATTGCAGGTACAACAGTGACAAGAACGTTATGGGTAACTAACCACGTTCTAATTGGATTTGAGGCCACTTCACAGGAAGGAATTCACACCTGTAAACCTGCTCAAAAGCCTGTGGCTAGTGAAGTCATAGGCCCTAGGGGGAAGCTACTACATTGTTCTGCTAAATAGACATGTTGTACCCATTAAATTACCTTCTAATTTATGTTTACACCCAGGGATAAGTCCTGCTGTCAGCTATGGTCAGAGAGTTTTTTTTATAGGGGACAGCAGTTACTGTAGAGTCTCAATACTCAGCCGTAAATGGGACATCTACATAACCCCTTCTAAGGCTCAAGGAACATTATAGAAGAGGGGGCAGAAAGAATGTAAGAGCAAGAAGAAGTGGGGGAGAAGTGATGTGGAAAACTATCTTCTGGGCATGACATGGGCGTTGCACCCATGAACTCAAAAAAGCTATGGATTACCCACACAAGTTTGGGCCTGTCAGCATTCTGGCATGGAGCGAGGAGAGGATCTTGAGGCCGTTAATGATTGCTGGTAAGATGCCCACAAACCTGTAAATTAACTCCTCATTAAGACTATAAATAATTAAACTCACTGGGTCTACTCCTCCCCCCAAAGACAGGAAAGTAGAGCTAGTTAGGGAAAAAGGGGATCAGTGGGAATGGAAGGGGGAGGTATGAATATGATCAAAATAATTATATACACATACGAAATTGTCTCAAACCATTACTATGTATAATTAGTGTGTACACATACATTTTTTTGGGGGGGGGGTTGGTCTTTTTGAGACTGGGTCTCCCTGTAGTCCCAGCTGGTCTGGAACTCTTTATATAGACCAGGCTGGCCTTGAGCTCAGAGATCCACCTGCCTTTGCCTCCCGAGTGCTGGGATTAAAGGCATGCACCACCATGCCTGGCATAATTAGTATATTCTAATAATTACTTTTGGGGTTGGGGTGTAGTTCAATAGTAAAGGGCATGCTTGTCATGCACAAGGTCATGTGTTTAGTCTTCAGTATGTCCTCCATTAAAATAAGGTAGTACTTACAGTTTAGACTTTGTGTTGTTTAGTAAGTCCTCCTCATCACTAGACTCATCTTTATTTTTGTCACTGTCTGATGATTCTTCTTCACTGTTTTCATCCTCCTCCTCCTCTTTTTCTTCCTCAGCAGCAACTTTACTTGCCTCGTCTTCCAAGTAAAAACTTTCTTTTTCTTCCTCAGCAGCAACTTTACTTGCCTTGTCTTCCAAGTAAAAACTTTTATCAGCACTCAATCCAGGAGTTCTGTCAATCACAAACAATGTATCACATGATGTATTTCCTGAGTCTCCATTTAATGACTCCTTTTGGTCACTACTTTCAACAAAACGAATGGTGTCTTCTTCACACTCGCTGTTTTCAGACTGTTGGCTTTCATCACTGCTAAGAACTAATAAAACAGAGCTATCTAAATTCTGAGACATGCTGAGTTCAGACTTGGGTAATTCAGTATCACATTCAAGAATGCTGTCCTGGCTGTTCCTGTCTTCACTGACATCTACACTTGTGGACTCATCATTACCGTGATCACCGAATGGTGTTAAGTCACTCATTTTTATGGTGCTCTTTTTCTCTCCATTCCATCTGTCCATTTTCACAACTGCAAATGTTAAAGCTAATGATTTCATTATAGCCTCACAATTTGGACTTGAGGCCCGTGGTATAGCTTTGTTATTTGGGGGGGTGGAATGAGTCTGAGAGACTGACTGCTGAAGGCAAGTGTCCTGAAGTTCAGAAAGACTCAATTGGGAATCGTTTTCATTAATTTCTTTTTCCTCTATTATTTTAATGTCCTCTTTATCCAAACTCTTACGGTTCTTTCTGATTTCTGTATGAGATGCAACACTGGCCTGCTTGTCCTCTTGCATATGCAAATGTTGGTGGTTTTGCACCTTAAATATTTTTCCTGAATTACTGTGGAGGGATCCAAAGTCAATATAAGTTTCATTATTACAGAAATCTGGCTTATTTATCTGAGAAGGTGATCTTGCTGGTAACTGAGAGGTTTGTCTAGGATCAGAGTCCTCTGAATTCATAGATGCATCCTCAGTTTGCTTTTTATCTCCTGGTATAATCTTAGCATATTTCTTCTTCACTTCAGCCTCTAATTTCCTTCGCACATTCCTGGCAGTTCTCCTAGGTGCAATTCCATAGGATAAAATGTCTGAGCATGACTCAGCATCAGAGACAGCTTCTGCATGTGTTTCCTGGCTTTCATCCCTTTGAGATTTAGCCTTATTTCTTCTGCTTCTTGTTATTTCTGTGGAAAGTGCAATTCTAGAAATCCCTGAAGCATAAGATTCTGCTTCAGAGACAGCTTCATCAAGAGATTCATTTACTGGGGTTATTTTTTTACTTTTCCTAACACTGGACTGTGGGGTGGGTGTAATTAGGATCTGCCTGCTCCTAGTTATTCTTAGAATGGGCTCCTGGACCTCAAGCACAGAAGAACAACTGGACTCTAAGTCAGAGGTCTCCCCATCAGCAAGTGATTCCTTTAGGTCTACTAGTGAGTCTGTAGCTTCGCTCTTCCTCTTTCTGGAGAGGGCTGAACTTTGCTTCCCAGTAGGCTGTGACTCAGCAGTGCTTCTGTCATTGTATCTTGATTCCTTTCTGCTTTCTGGACGTCTTTGAACCCCTTTAGGAGCAGAACTCTACAAACCAAAACAAACACATAATTCAGATAGGGGCTGGGACAAGAGCAAGCAAATATGGCACTATCCCCAGGAGCAAAATTTGAGGGTACTTCAAGCCAAACAAACGATTTAAAAAAATAATTTTCTTGGGGCTGGAGAGATGGCTCAGCGGTTAAGAGCACTGAGTGCTCTTGCAGAGGACCAGGGTTCGATTCCCAGCATCCACATGGCGGCTGCGAACTGTCCTTAACTACAGTTCCAGGGGAATCCGAAGCCCTCTTCTGACCTCCGCGGCATTGCACGACACGGGTGCACTCACATACATGCAGGCAATGCACTCATACACATAAAATAATAAAATATTTAAAAAAATATTTTCTAGCCGGGCGTGGTGGCGCATGCCTTTAATCCCAGCACTTGGGAGGCAGAGGCAGGCGGATCTCTGAGTTCAAGGCCAGCCTGGTCTACATAGTGAGTTCCAGGCCAGCTGGGGCTACAGGGAGACCCTGTCTCAAAAAGACCAAAAAAAAAAAAAAAAAATTTCTTTACCTGCCTTATCCTAGACCTGGGTCTGACTTCAGAAAACCGAATAATTTAAAAGATAATTTTCTCCACTTAAAGCACACATTCCAACTCATTTATAGAGGATCGATAGGAAGAATGGCGAGAGTTAAGTATTAACTGAGCAGAGACGTGTTTTGGAGTTCATGGATGGTATCGGCCTCTGCCCGAGTTTTCACATACCGGAAAGAATTGCACTACTCCCTTTATGACACAAGCTACAGAGCGCAGAAGCAGGAGCCTAGGCGGCGTCATCGCAGCCCTGCCTATGCCAGCCTATGCCACTGCCAGCCTCCCCACGTGCAATAGATTTTTTTTTCCCAATTCCCCAAATGAGGCTCTGGCGCGGTGGCTGGGGCTAACCTTCCGTGGTACGATGTCAACAGTAAGTTTAAAAGGCCTCATCTGTGTAAGGCAAGCTACCTAAACTTTCCTAGTAAGAACTACCCGAGACCCGGGCGAGCCTAAGCAGGTTTCCTGGAAGGCACACGGCCGAGCGCAGCGGCTCGGGGTCCTCCAGGCCGCTCCTTCGCCGACGCTCCACGAACCGGCGAAGGGACCCGTGGGAACCAGGAGTCGCCTACCTTCTGCTGGGAGCTTTCTGGCGCGACTTGGAGGCTGGTCCGAGACCGCCCAGACCGGGTAACCACCATTTTCCCAGCACCAGGCTTCCCGGCAGCCCCGGCGACTTCCTCCGGTCCCGTGCTTCGGAAGTGCGTCAGGCAAGCGTCTCGCTAGAGTTTCCCAGGGGAAACCGAGGCCCTCGAGAATCTCGTTCCGGTCCGGATTCTGCAGCATTGCAGGACCTGGGTCTCCAACCTCCGGCTGGAGCGTGGTGGAGAAAGACCAGGGCTCTCCCTTCGTCGCCGTTTTACTCTAATTGGAAAGTCGCATCGTTACTTACCATGCGTAATTGTAAAGGTCTTTGATGTACTCTTGACCGAAGCCAAAACTTAAAAACATGTACGTAGTATTTGTAAAGTTAAAAGGGTTAAAAGACTTGATTGGGATACAGGGATGTATATGTTCAGTGCACTCGGGATCTCGGAGACTAGTTAGAAAGCTGTGGAATTTAACAGAGAAGTTTCAGAATAAACGGAGAAGTGCAGAAGAAATTGTAAAAGTGAGAGATAAAAGTTTTTGCAATGGAAGGAAAAGAATGACCAGAATCAAGAGGGGTGTGTTGTTACTTTTTGCTTGGGAATGAAGGATGCGGAACTCTTAGAATGTATGGAGACTACAGAAGGGATTGAGGAAGTATGTAGAGGAATTTATTAAGACTGGGAAAAGATGTGTCTCATCAAGTCTGTTCTCTCCCAGGTTTTAACACAACCAGTATTTTAAAAAAGATTTTATATTCTTATGTGTATGAGTGTTTTGCCTACATGTATGTATGTGCACTTCTAACATGACTGCTTCCCATCGAGTCCAGAAGAGGGAAATGCATCTCACTAGTCAGTTGTGAGTTCAAGCCTGGCCTTGAACTTAGATCAACCTTCCTGTGCCTCCCAAGTGCTGGGATTAAAGGCATGTGTCACCACACCCGGCCTTTTGGGGCTTCTTTTGTTTTTGCTTTTCAAAGATTTATTTTTATGCTGAGTGTGGTGGTGCACACCTTTAGAATCCCAGCGCTCAGGAGGTAGAGGCTGGCGGATCTCTGTGAGTTCAAGGCCAGCCTGGTCTACATAGTTTCAGGCCAGCTTGGTCTGCTGGGAGAGCCTGTCTAAAAAAGAGATGGGGGGGCGGGGGCTATTTATTATTATTTTTTATGTCTGTGTCTGAGTGACTGTATCCCTGGAGTGTGTGGGTTGCTGGAGAGAGAGTTGGAGCTGGAGTTAAAGGTTGTAGCGAGCTCCCTAAGGTGGGTGCTGGGAACCAAATCCAGGACGTCTGGAAAAGCAGGATGCACTCTTTAACTACTGAGCCATTTCTCCAGCCCCCATAAACGAGTATTTTCCTTAAAGACACAGCATACATTTTTTGTGGTACATTGCCTCTAAGCTAAACAGCTCCTCTTCATTTCCCTTGAAAGTAGGTATGATTAGTGACCAAGTTTTGACAGCTCTAAATTTTTTTTTAAATTTTATTAGTTTTATGTGTATGTGTGTATTGCCTGCATGTAGGTAGGTGCACCCATGACGTGCAATGCTCGTGGAAGTCAGAAGAGGCTGTCGAATCCCCTGGGACTGGAGTTATTAGCTGCCATTTGGGTGCTGGGTTTCGAACCCGGGTCTTCAGCAAGAACAGCCAGTGTTCTTAACTGCATCTCTCCAGCCCCCTAAATTGTCTTAAAAAAACAGGAGACCCAGACTCAGTAGACATGTGAGCTGCCTGCAGGTATTATGAGTAAAGGTGCTTTAAACATGTCTTTTGAATATGTTATTCTTTTTTTTTTTTTTTTGGTCTTTTTGAGACAGGGTCTCCGTGTAGCCCCAGCTGTCCTGGAACTCACTATGTAGACCAGGCTATCCTTGAACTCACAGAGATCCACCTGCCTCTGCCTCCCGAGTGCTGGGATTAAAGGCCTGCACCACCAGGCCCAGCATGAGCATGTTATTCTTTTGAAAGATCTCTAAGAGTAGAATTATATCATATGCTAAGTGTACATTTGAGTTTTCAAGAAATGTCCAAAGCAGGCATCATGTCACATGCTTGTAATCCCAGGACATGGGATGCTTTGGCAGGAGGATCTTGAGTTTCAGGCAAGCCTGGGCTACATAGCAAGATCGTGTCTTAAAAAACAAAATGGTAAAAGAAATGCCTGAATATTTGGTACAGTTTTACTTTTTTTTTTGAGACAGGGTCTCCCTGTAGCTCCAGCTGGCCTGGAATTCAGTATGTAGACCAGGCTGGCCCTGAACTCACAGAGATCTGACAGAGATCCACCAGCCTCTGCTGGGATTAAAGACATGCGTGACCACACCCAGCGCAGTTACTTTCTTACCAACATCTGAAAGTTCTCTTTGCACCACATCCTTACCAACACTTGCTATCATCACTTTACATTTTTTCGTTAGTGATATTTCACTGTAGTTTAATCTACATTTCTCTGCTAATGATGTTGAGTATCTTTAAACATTCCTTTTTGGGGGGAGGTTTGAAAGCAGGCATCATGTCACATGCTTGTAATCCCAGGACATGGGATGCTTTGGCAGGAGGATCTTAAAAAACAAAATGGTAAAAGAAATGCCTGAATATTTGGTACAGTTTTACTTTTTTTTTTGAGACAGGGTCTCCCTGTAGCTCCAGCTGGCCTGGAATTCAGTATGTAGACCAGGCTGGCCCTGAACTCACAGAGATCTGACAGAGATCCACCAGCCTCTGCTGGGATTAAAGACATGCGTGACCACACCCAGCGCAGTTACTTTCTTACCAACATCTGAAAGTTCTCTTTGCACCACATCCTTACCAACACTTGCTATCATCACTTTACATTTTTTCATTAGTGATATTTCACTGTAGTTTAATCTACATTTCTCTGCTAATGATGTTGAGTATCTTTAAACATTCCTTTTTGGGGGGAGGTTTGAACAGGGTCTCATTTTGTAGCCCTGGCTGGTATGGAATTCACTATGTAGATTAGGTAGGCTGACCTTGAGATCTGTCTACCTCTACATCTGGAGTTGCTGAGATTAAAGGCATGCACCACCACACCAGGGCCTTTTGAGAGTCTTGTTTGTTTGGATATCTTCTTTGGAAAAAAGTTTGTTCTAATCTTTTGTTTATTTTTTTCTGGAAATTCTTATGTTTAAATTTAAATGTTTAAATAGAATGTATCAGGTATGGTTTCTAAATATTTTTACTCATTCTGTGAATTATTTTACTATTTCGATGCTGTCTTTTGAAACACAAATTTGAAAAATTCTCCTGGGCGTGGTGGTGTACGCCTTTAATCCCAGCACTTGGGAGGCAGAGGCAGGCAGATCTCTGAGAGTTCGAGGCCAGCCTGGTCTCCATAGCGAATCCAGGCCAGCTAGGGCTACAGGGAGACCCTGTCTCAAAAAGACCAAAAAAAAAAAAGAAAAAATTCTGTCCAATTTATTTTTCATGTAATATTTGTCTCAGATATTTTTTTTGAGGTCACACAAATTAAGCATATTTTATTTCTCAACTAGGACTGTATGGGTAACAAAGCCTCCTTTCAGTAGGAGTGATTTTGTTGGACAGCTTTAAGATGTCATAGCAGCTGCCAGAAATCTTAGCATTTTATTCCCTTTTTTACTGTGTAAGGTTATTGTAGTGCTAAAGTGGTATCTGTCATCACCATCATATCTCAATTCTGGGAATTATTGGCAGCACCCAGGACAGGCAGAGTGGGACAGGTTGTGATAATCCAGTCTTAATTCATCCCTTTAGATCCTTGTTGATATCACATTATTGTGAATTTATACAAACCCTACTTACATCTTTAAAACAGTACTATGCAATACATTGGTATACTATTACAAAATATCCTTTTCTATAAAGGCATTGAAATCTTTCTTGGGTTTTTTTTTAGACCTAAATGCTAGCAAGCAGATATTTCAAAATCCTAACTATAAAGTCAGTTTTCTTAATTTTCTGAAATTAGTTACCAGAGTTAAAAGGAATTTATAATACTGACCTATCTCATCTACTTTCAAAATATTTAAAACAAAAATTTTAAAAACACATTTACTATGTATATAACAAGACTCAACTGTAAAACTATTGAAAGACCATGAATCAATGGAGCTATGAAATTATACAAGATGAAGTTGAAAAGGCTGTGCTTTTGTTTTTAAAAAAACAATTAAGCCCAGTTCTCTTTTTTTCTGTAGGGTTACAAGAAAATGGAAAAATCCCTTTTAAATCATACAGAGATTTAAAAATTTTTTTTTTACTTCCACTAAGAAACTAAAATGTTTCTTATCCTATAATAATAAATAACACTCAAACTATTCATGGCCAGTTGTTTATGCTTTTGAGATTTGACTGAATGGTTCTAACACTAAATTGTGTGTAAAATATTATTTCTGGCATCTGTCCGTCTTCTATGGGAGTGCCACTATTATTGCCAGCGGAACTGAAAAATAAAAAAACAATCTTGCTTGCAGCAGGCGTCTCATGCACTATTTTCTCCAGTCCTTTTGTACCATAGTGAGACTCTGGACCCTTGAGTGTCGCACAGGCTGTGTAGCCCACATTGGGCAGGATCTCTATAGGTTCTTTGAACATGACCCTGAATGTGTTAGCAGTCCCATCACAACTAAATCCAGTATCATTTTGCCCCAGGGTTTTTTTTTTTTCTCATATTCAATGATCTGTATATTCACTTGATAATCTGTAGGACCATGAATAGATTCATATAAACCAAATCCAACTACAGAGATTCTTCTATTAACTGTGAACCCGATTCCATCACTTGTTCCACTGTAGCCCCAGTGCATCTATTGATGCAGCATTCTTTTCCTCTGAGGCAGCACTGCAGTTAATCAACGTATTCCACTCTGGGTTCAGGGTTAACAACAAAATGAAGAAAGAGGTTTACAACTTCACAATCTGACAAAATTCCAGATTGAACAGGACCTGCTGCAAATTCCTCAGTCATCAGTGGGAACAGGATTAAGGAAAGTGCTTTTCCTAGAACTTTCTGTTTGTTTTGAAAAGTAACAGGCAATTGTTGTCTCTGACAGTCTGCTTCTGCCCAGCTTACAACAGCTCCACAAAGTTGACTTTCTCGATTACTGTGTCTCTTTCTAGCACCGCACACAGTATATCTATGTCAATATCAGTAAACCCTTCTGCACTTACTGCATCTATGTGCTTTTGTCTATTGTGTCTAGACAAAGACTAGCAAGCTGAGGCTCATCAACCGTACCTGAGTAAGCAACATAAAGGCATTATCTGCCCTAAGATGTTTGGTGAGAAATTCTACACAATGTGCTTCCAGGGCAGGAACTGCACATTTCTTAGTGGTATAAAGAGTAGTCATAAGTGTTTCTGGACCAATTTGAACTTCATCTTACTAGAGAAATCTCGGCACCAGGAAGGTGGGCTCCACATGTGACAGCTCGTTCTTGGCTGATGTTGTGGCCATGCGGCCATTTAACATGGCATCGAAGACTGTGCTGTCCACTTATTTCACCATTTTGATGCTGTCTTTTGAAAGACAAATTTGAAAAATTCTGTCCAGTTTATTTTTCATGTAGTATTTGTCATGTAGCCAAGGCTGTCCTTGAATTCACAAAGATCCCCCTGCCTCTGCCTCTACCTCCTGGGACTAAAGGCATGTGCCACCACACCTGTCTGTCTCAGATATTTCTAAATTTGTGATTACATTTTCATTTTTAAAAAGCCAAAGAACAGATTTTAATTGTAAGTCATTTATGTTTACCAATATAGTCTTTTGGGGTTTTCTGTTTTATTAGAAAGATGTGGAACCAGTTTCATTTCCTTGTTTTGTTATAATACTATATGCATCAAAATAAATAGGAATTTTTAATTAAAAAAAAAAACTAGAAAGGACAGATTGTTGCTAGAGAAGAGAATCCAGATATTGCAAGAGTAAATATATGCTGGAAGTACCATTTTTTTTCTTTTCTTTTTTTTTGAGACAGGGTTTCCCTTTAGCCCCAGCTGGCCTGGAACTCATTATGCAGACCAGGCTGGCCTTGATCTCACAGAGATCCACCTGCCTCTGCCTCCCAGGTGCTGGAACTAAAGGCATGTGCCACCATACCCAGTGGAAAACTATTTTCAAGATGCTGAGAAAAGCATCACAGAATTGTATTGTGCTAAATAATCATTTAAGATTGAGTCCACAGGGCTGGAGAGATGGCTAATCAGTTAAAAGTACTGACTGCTCTTACAGAGGACCCAGGTTTGATTCCCAACACTCACATGGTGGCTAACGACCATCCATAACTGCATTTCCAGGGGACCCAATGCCCTCTTCTGACCTCCTTGGGCACTGCACAACACAGGTGCACTTACACGTGTGCAGGCAATACATTCGTGCACATTAAAAAATAAAAAAAAAGATTGAATGTAGGACTTGGTTTATGATTCAGTGGTAAAGCACTTTCATAGCAGGTACAAGATCCTGGATTCAGTCCCCAGCATCATTAAAAAACATTGCATGAAAAAAAGATTGAAAAAGACAGAGAACCTACAAATCTGATTGTTGTGACAAAATAGTTGATTTAAGCCAGGCTTGGTGGGGCATACCTTTAATCCTAGCACTCGGGAGGTTGGGAGGCAGAGGCAGGCGGATCTCTGTGGGATCTCTGTGAGTTCAAGGCCAGCTGGGGCTACCGTGAGACCCTGTCTCAAAAAAGACCGAAAAAAAATCTGACTTAACTTCAAAGGAAGAAAGATTTTGGCTCATAGTTCAGAGTTTGCAGCCCATGGTCATTTACCTCTGTCCATTTAGGCCAATAGTAAGGTTTCTGATGGAGACTGTGTAACAGACCAGAATTGTTCACCACATGTTGACTGCAATGTAAAAAGAGAGGAAGGGCCAGGGCTCTTGTTCCTGTTCAAGGGTACCAAGCATCTAACTTCATCCCAGTAGGCTCCACTTCCTAAGTTTCTACCATTTCCCAACAGCACTTCCTCAGTTGGGGACCAAGTCTTCAATACATGAGCCACTGGGGACATTTAAGATCCAAACCCTAACAGTGCCCCTAAGACCTTTGGTGAAAAAGTTTATTAAGGACATACTTAAAGGAGAAAAAGGTGAATTTAATGAGCAGAATGCAAGAATCAATAGTGAACAAAGAAAAGGAAAAGAGAGCTGAATTACAGTAAGTGATGCCTAGTCCTTAAAATAACCGACACATCAAAGTCATAGATATTTAGTCATTGCAAACAAAATACCTTGTTTTAATTTTGTGGCAATGGAACTACATACAACCATATTTTAGTATCTTTTGAGTAGTCTGCCAAGTTTTAGTCTCTTATACAATGTGACTTTTCCAACCTTACCTGGCACGTCATTATCTTTCTAGTAGAACAAGTGTTTTGTATGTGACTGTTCAGGTGCTTACGTACCCATGTAGGCCAGAGGGCAACAGAAGTGTTTCTCTATTGCGCTCCACCTTTTTGAGGTAGTCTTTCACTGAACCTGAAGCTTGCTTACTGGCTAAGCTGACTGGCCAGCAAACCCCAGAGATCCTCCTGTCTCCACTTCGCAGTGCTGGGATTACAGGTTGCACTGGCATGCTAGTGTAGTAAACATTTTACCCACTGAGCCATCTCTTAGCTTTTGAAGATGGTTCTCATTGGACTTACATGTTTACATATAAATTGCTTATCATTTAATAAAATAATGAGCAGATTATTTACAAACCAAGCAGACAGGGACTTTTACCCACAATACTCAGCACACCTTGTCCCTTGACCTTACCCTAAAGTTAGTTCTTTTAGGGAAGTCTTTTTGTTCAGTTTTCTACCCAGTAACTTCCTTCCACATACCCACAACCATTTCCTCATTTCTACCATCAACCAAGGTAGCCTATTATGCTTCTTCATGAACAGATCTCCCCTGCAAATATACTATAAGCTCCTTGAAGACAGTGGTGTTTATCTGTCCAGATGAACAGTGATGTGTCCATCTGTAGCAACTTGTATAACACCTAGCACACAGAAGGCATTCAATACATCACTGCAGAATGAATAGCTTTATGATTTAGATATTTTTAAATATAATTTATTTCCAAATTATACTGATTAAATTCAGAGTTCCAAATCAGTGTCATGCTCCAGGCTGAAACAACCCAATTAGAAAACATACAGTTCAAATTTTATTTAATATAGGCAAAGTAAAATTTATTTTTAATAATACCTTATATTTTGCTTTTTTAGTATACCACTACAGATAAGAAAAATAATTAAAATATTTTCATGTTTCCCTCAGTCTGAAAACTATAAAAATATTGTTACATAGTTTTGAAAAATCAAACTGGCATATCACATCATCATTTTAAGGGGGAAAGGGAAGTAAATAAGTTTTGGGTCATTGGAAATTAATGCTGGAAAACTAGGTTTAGAATCCTAAGTGACTTTAAGAACAGAAATGGCACTGCAATTTAAATTCTTATCATAACAGCTTCACATTTCTCTAAATGTACATTTGGCAGAAAGATGAATTGTCAGCCAGTATACAAGGAATATATCAGCTTCTTACAGTCCAAAGATCAAAAATATTGGGCAGGTAACCTAGAAGGAAACTCTTCCACAAAGAGATGTAATTAAAATGAGCCGCAGAACTTTTGTTGCTGAAAACTAAGATCCTAATTTTGGTTACTACTTGGCCCTGGCATACAGAAGTCTAAACATTTTGGTTTTCATAGGAAAATCTGAATTGTTTGTGCAATAAAGATTAACTTTTTTGTTGTTTTTTGTTTTGTTTTTTTGAGACAGGGTCTCCTTGTAGACCCAGTTGGCCTGGAACTTGCTATGTAGACCAGGCTCGCTTCAATCTTACAGAGATCCGCCTGCCTCTACCTCTTGAGTGCTGGGACTAAAGGCTTGCACTACCATGCCTGGCTAGATGACCATTTTTTAGAACTGAAACTTTGTTAGCTATTATTTATTAATCAAGTTCTAGCATTGGCCATTCTGAAGTGGACATTGTATTAATGTGCCTCCATCAATGTGGTCTTCAGAATCTACACCACGTGAATATCACTTATAAGACACCTTGTTCCTTCTGCAGTCTACAGTTTCTTGGATGGAAATTCAAGGAAGACCCATGGAATAAATCCCAAGTCATGGTACACTGCTGAATCGGCTCTAGTGGAAATTAACCTACAACCTCTTTCTGTGTTTACTGGAAAAAAAATTATACATACGTGAAGTCTTTCACTGGGTCACTGCATTTACATCTCCCTGATTAGCAATACACACTATTGACAACTTAGCTTTTGGTTTATATGATTATTTGGTAGTATTTGATTCTTTATTTTATGGCTTTTAAAACAAGTCCTTAAATATTTGAAAGTTTTCATTATATTCTGATAGTTCATGAAAAAATATGAACATTGGCTTGAAAAACTGTAAGGCCTTAAAAAGACTCATTTTTAAAAGGTTATTCACATAAGGAACTTCAGGGATCAAAAAAAGAGAACAAGAAAAAAATCACTTCAAAATTACATACATGAAAACTGTATCTGATACATGATCTCACCAACAAGCTCCTGCTAACGTTTCAATGCACTAGGAAAGGACAGTTTTGTTTAGGTTTTCTCACATTGCCAGAATAGCCCTTCAAAAATCCATTCTTTAAGTGTTGGGTTTTAAAAAACAATACAAATAATATTAAAGTTTCCCTTTAAAATAGCTCAGCCAGTTCACTGCACAGATTTAAAACACAAGAAATATGTAAAGATTTATGCTATAGGAAAAATGTACATTTTCAAACTAAAAAGTTAGCTGTGTATTTAACATTACATACAATTAATATAAAGTCTTTAAGGTCAAAGCCAACACAAGTTTTAGCAGGCAAATCAGCTGATTTCGCATGATAATTCTAATCGATAAAATTATCCAACTTGTAAACCATAAAGCTTTAGGAAAAAAATCTACTCTATTGACTTAACATGGAACTACAGTTTTCTGTAAGCTTAGAAAATTTGAGCAAAATTAGTTTACATAGGCCTATACTTTAAAATTACTGATGTACGATATATCTTTTTAGAAACTGGAACTGTTCGGGTTACAAGATACAACTTTTTAGATTAAGACTTTAGTATACATAAGGATTACAGCTTATTTGCAATTTTCTGGTTTTTAAACTAGTGAGAAATGAGATGAATGGCATTGTCTCCTCTAGCTCTAAAGTTTTAGCTATAGTGTTCTGCTTTCCACTAGTTCAGACTAGTGGTAGAGCATGCGCTCAGTGTGCACAAGGCTGTGGGTTCAATCTCCAGCAACAGAACACTTGAGACTATCTCTCAGACAAAGTTCTACAAATAGGCATTGTTGGTTATGAACTATCAAACATTTTTTCTTCAATCTTCTGGCTTTATTCCCTCCTCATCAGTCATTAATGGGTATAAATATCACACATTTACTCAACTGTTTCTTGATCCCTACCTATGTCCCTTCTCTCCAGAGCCCACAGTGCCGAGCACATGGTATGAGTGCAAGAGACTTAATGAATATTCTTGAATGGGTGGCAATATATTAATGATGGATTAAGAATTCTAAAGAATCTGGAGATGACAATAGTTGCTTTTGTAAAACTCCCAAACAATAATTTTAAAGTATCAAGTATCTTTTTCAGATTTACTTTGGCTTGTCTTTGTAAATAATAGGTGGAAAAATATGGCACAAGCATACATGATTGAATGATAGCTAAGCTGTAATGTAAGCAAGAACACACACACAAAATTAGGTTTTCACTCACATTGAAGAATGAATTTTATTTACATTACTAGTAGACCCTCGCTGCTCTAGTTACTCTGAAATATAGTTATTTCACCAATGGCAGGAAAAAATATCTTCTAGTATTTATTTTAATAGCTGTAATTAAATTGCTTAGTTATAGTATAAAGTAAGAAGCAATTAATGAATCTTGGAAATAAAAAATATGTATATACATTGCCCTGATGCCTAAGCCAAAATATATCTAACAACAAATTTTCTTGATTTCTATTACTCATAAAAATAAAGGAAATATATTGCAAATATTTTTCTTTATAGACAATTTCAGTTAGAAAACAATAGTTTAATGAAAACAAAACAGTGGTTCATGTGCGTGTACTGATACGGAGGCAAGAGAAGTATTCAAAACTTGACAAGCAGCACGCTGCCAAAACAGCTCACTATGTCCTCAGTGACACTTCTGATAGGCAATAGCTAGATTTTTCACACATTTCAATTTATCTTATATATTTTATCTTATGTTCAAGAGAAATGCAGGTCAGTGAGTTGTAGTTAAGAGCCCCTTCTTTTGGCTTGTAAAATGTAGCCTTTTGATTTGATGATTCCCCTGCTTTTCACAATGACAGAGTATCTCAGCAGCCACAGTGGTACCCATTCTTGTGCTTGAATGTCAGGGATGCTCTCCTGCAGAGCTTCTTGGAAACTTGCCTCCGAAAGCAGTTCTAAAACAACAAACACCAACAGGTTAAGTTTGGAAACAAAAGCACTTTACTATGTAGGTAATCATTTAACACAATAAAAGAAATTCCTAAAAACTGAATATAGGGTTGGGGACAGCACAGTTGGTAGAGTGCTTGCCTAGAATTCACCATGCCCTGGGTTTGATTACCACTACCACAAAAACTAGGTGTGGTGTACAGACTTTTAATTTTAGCATACACTTAAAATTAAATTTCAACAAGTGTTTTCTTTTTCTTACTTTATTTGTGTGTGTGTTAGGGGTCATACACACAAGGACCTTGTGCATGCTAGATAAGCATTCTACTACTGAGTTACACCTCCAGCCCACCAAACAAGGGCTTTTTTGCCTTCTAAAAGTTCATGATAAATGCCTATAAATGAAAATATCTTACCTTTTGGATCATTATGAGTCAGTAGCTGTATGTCAAACTGTTTCGCAAATGCAGTCAGATCTGGTGGCATCACACAGCAGGAGGCAAGATTAACTTGATTACTATTTGGTTTTACCTTAAAGTGAAAATAAAATTATTTTTAACAAATTACATAATATAGACAGTAGAGAGTAATAATTTAACTCTTCACAATAGCTAGGGAATGGACCCTAAATGTCCACCAACGGATGGATAAAGAAAATGTGATACATAAACACAATGGAAGTTTGTCAAATAAAGGAAAATGAAATCATGACCTTGGCAGGAAAATAAATGAACTAGAAACTGTTATGTTAAGCAAAATAAGCCAGACTCAAAGAGGCAAATACTGCATGTTTTCTCTCATATGTGAGCTTGTGATGTAAAATTATATACATGTATGCATACTTGTGTATGTGTGTGTGTGTCTAGGTCATGAAACTAGAAAGGGCATCATGAAAGGGGAGGAAGAGATGTGAAGGGAGCGGTGAAAAGAGGAGGAAATGGAATATAGTACCATCAAAACAGAAGCAGGGAGCTGTTTGTGAGGACGAAGGGAAGGGAGCCCCACATGGGACAGAAGTAAGAGGGGGGAATCAACCAGAACATAGCGCAATGACATGTATGTATGAAAATGCCATAATGAAACCCACTACTTTGTATGCTAGCTTTGACAGTTTTTTTGTGTGTGTATGTGCTTGTTGGTATCTGCCTGAAAGACAAAAATCAACATCAGGTGTCTTCCTCAGTCACTCTCCCAACTTACTTTTGGAGATGGGGTTTCTCACTGAACCTGGAGCTCCATAGACTAAGCTGGCTGGCAATCCCCAGGGATCCTCCTATCTCTGCCCTCCCTCAACTTTGGGATTACAGGCATGCATGTCCTAGGTGTGTGTGTGTGTGTGTGTGTGTGTGTGTGTGTGTGTGTGTGTGTGTGTGTCTATGTGTGTGCTAGGAATCAAACTCAGGTCCTCATACTTGCATAGCAAACACCTTAAATCTCCCTAGCCCCCACAATATTTATTTGTAAAGAAAGTAATAATAAAAGGGCTTAATTTTAGAATATAACCACATTTTACTGTGTTTCATTTATAAAATACTTTTGCATGAATATTTTTATTAACATATGCCTTCGTAACCTATGTTAGTGATAGGAAAGGAAAAACAGCTCTAGGAAAAAAGAAAAAGCCAAACAGTATTATACTAAAAGTCTCAAAGTCTTCTGCTAGAAGACTGAGAAGGTGGCTGAGCATGAAATAAAAGGAATAAGGGAAAATACAGGGGCAAAGTATCAGTAACTTCCCTTCTAATTTTGTAGGTTCTTAAAGCTGGGGAGGGGATAGGACCCCCATTCCATATCAGGTTGTATAAACTAAGTCTTAGACATCTATAATGGACTTACAGAAAAAAATATTTGGTATATGTAGTGCTTCCTGCTTAAGAAATTAGAGCCATACAACCCAATGTGTAATATTTTCATCACATATATAGAACTGCAGGAAGCCACCTTAAGGCATTTGTTCTGAATTAAGTCATTTGTCAATTTCAGCAGACATTTTCTTGTCTTTTCATTATTCATTTTAAATGAGATTAATATTCAGTTCAATTAGACATGTATTACACACACACACACGCATGCACGCACGCACGCATGCATGCTTGCAAGCAAGCCCCCACGCTTTAGATGACACCCATCTCAAAACACACATTTGGAAGCCGCCCCACAGTGCGTGCATTAGGTATATGATGCTCCACAGCTAGGGCAGAGTGTCAGTATCTGGCTGTCCCTTACCTGTGCCCACTGATACAGCTGCTCCAACTGTGTTTTATCTAGGTCAGAGGTACCTATAGCAACAATTTTCTTGCTTTGAACTAAGTTTTCTAATTCCTCCCAGTAAGGCTGTAAATGCTTCAAGGAAAGATTAACTCCATCTTCAATAGGAGGTGAAGCAATGATCACAGAGTCCAGCTGTGCAACTCCAAGGACAGAACAAGCTAGTGGGAAGGACAATACAGAAAGGATAAACACTTGCTGCATAATATAAACAAGTATTACTGTCTTCAACATATCCCACTGAGTCCTGTCCATATCACTAACTACTTTTCTATAAGCAGTTACTTCATAATTCATCTGTTATTTAGGATATTTCTTACTCCTCTGTGCAGCAGACAAGTGGGTTTCTGATGTGCCCTCTTTCTTGGGGCACAGTTAGCACAGGCTCCTTTCTAGGGAGCAGTCTTCCTAGACTCTAGGACTTTTCCATGGCTTATCTTCATAGAATTTTCTTTTCCAATTCTACTTACCACTGTTATTTTTTTTTATGTGTATGAGTGTATTGCCTGCGTGTACATGAGTGCACCCATGTTGTGCAATGTGGCAGATATCAGAAGAGGGCTTCAGATTCCCCTGGAACTGGAGTTAAGGACAGTTCATAGCTGCCATGTGGGTTCTGGGACTCAAACCCAGGTCCTCTGCAAGAGCAGTCAGTGCTCTTAACTGCTGAGCCATCTCTCTGCAGCCCTGACCACTGGTATTTTATATAGATGATGGTTAAGAATTCTGCTTTAACATTCTATAAGTAATAGTCCTAACAAAATAAGGCTGAGATACTGAAAAACTTAATCTGGTCTTAATTTGTATTTACAGAAGTAGATAACTTCACAAATTCTATAAAAGGAATTTAAGAGCTTATTTTAAATCACTACTGTTCATTCTACAGTTATATTAAACCGCTAGTTGTTTTCGACGTAAGTAAACACTAGAAGATTTTTAAAATTACTTAGTAATTATAATGCTACAATAACTAGCCAAGTGCTGAAAATTAATTGAAACTACTTGTATTTTGGTTTTAGTTCTGGTATTTCATTTTACAGTGTAATACTAAAGGACTACTAATATGATTAAAGAGAAGTTCTATCCCCAGATAGCATTTAACTGTCACATTTAATCTTTTACACTTCTATAAAAAAAAAAAAACCACTCTATATAATACAGAAACCTTAAGAAACTAGGCTAAAATCTTAAAAGATAAAGTTAAAATCAGCCTGTTTTCTTTTTTACCTAGATTGAGCCACAAGTCATAACTAATACACCTAAAAAAAGCTAAAATACATTATTTGAAAAGTTAAATTTTTGCTTACCCATGTCAACTGCATTTCTGGTTGATGATGAAGAATTTGATCCTACAATGAACAGTTTTGCTGGATAACAAAGAAAAATATGATTACATGTGTATACACTATTTTTTTTTTCTTTTTGTCTTTTTGAAGCAGGGTCTCCCTGTAGCCCCAGGCTGTCCTGGAACTCACTATGTAGACCAGGCTGGCCTTGAATTCACAGAGATCCACCTGCCTCTGCCTCCCAAGTGCTGGGATTAAAGACATGCACCACCACACCCGCTTGATACACTCTTACTATACAGAAAGTAGTATTGCCACGACAGATAATCCTTGATAAATTATTTTCTTTTCCATGTAATTTTATAACTCCTCTTTATGACAGTGTATTTTCACTGGCTTTTTTTTTTTTTTTTTTTTTTTGTCTTTTTGAGATGGGTTCTCCCTCTATCCCCAGTTGGCCTGAAACCTGTTATATAGACCAGGCTGGCCTTGGTCTTACAGAGCTTCACCTGATTCTGCCTCCCAACTGCTCTGTAATTTTTAAATTATATGTTAATTAACAAATCTGTTTTTCAAGAATAAAACAGGTATTAATTTCCTACTTATTTAATTTCCCATTTATTATAGGGCAGGTCAGATACATAGGAGCTGAAACTCAGTGAATGTCTATGCATAAGCTAAGCATGGTGGGGCACATTTCATACTTTCTACAATAAACCACAGCCTAAGAAAGATGTAATGAGAAGAAAACTGAAAAAAAGAAAAGAAAACCTATGTAAAGCCGAACATAACATTTCTCCTATTTCTACTTGGCTTATCTTTATGTGATAAATACTTTGTATGTATCTATGTGTAGTAGTCTTAAAATTTTATCTTAGTAGTAATGTGCTTACTCTACAAATGAGGAAAATTGATCAAAGTAGACAAAAAAAGTAGCACACAGTTTTATCACTCAAAGCATCTGATATTTAGGTTTTTATGTGGTCACTTCTTTTGTTTCCCTTTGGTGCTGGGAATCAAACAGTATCTCCTATGTGCTGGGGCAAACACCACTGACCTACAGCCCTAGCCCCCAGCCTGTTTTTAATTTTTAATTTTACACACTAACAAAATTTTTAGACAGGGTCTCGTTTTATAGCCTAGACTGGCCTCAAAATGACAATCCTCCTACCTTCAGCCTCCTGAATACTGAGATTACAGGTGTGTACCATGTCCTGGATAGCTTTAGGTGTCAACCTGACACACTTGGGAACAGGGAACCTCAATTGGGAATTGCTTCTATTGGGTTGGTCTTGTGGACACATCTGTGGGGCATTTTCTTGACTGTTGAGTGATGTGAGCAGGCCAAGCCCACTGTGGGCAGTGCCATCCCTGGGCAGGTGGGTCTATGTTATAAAAGAAAGCAGGCTGAGCACAGGCCAGAGGAAGCAAGCCAGTAAGCAGCGTTCTTCCGTGGTCTGTGCTTTAGCTCCTGCCTCCAGGTTTCTTCTGCCTTGACATCCCTCAATGACGGACTATGTTGTAAGTCCAATAAACCCCTTTCTCCCCAAGTTGGTTTTGGTCAGTGTTTTATCACAGCAATAGAAAGCTAACTAGGACCAGGACCATGGGGTATTGCTGTGACAGACCTGACCATATATGTCTGGGAAGGTTGTAGAAGTTCTGGGAGCTCAGTGAGTTGTTCTGTAGGAATATGGAAGATAATGCTGAAGATGTATAGACAATGGAGGCCTGGCTTGTGAAGCTTCAAAGGGAAACAAAGATTAATTATCAGGGCTGTTTGTGTGCTATTTTGAATCTCTGGTTTCTGGTCAGTTGGGGCTGAAGAATCAGCTATGATTAAGAAGAGATCAGCACCACTGAAGTGAAACCTTTGCTTTACTGGGACAATTGATGCTGGTTAGCTGGGGCTGAAAAATCAGCTGTGGGTAACAAGAGACCAGCATCACTGTGGTAAAATGTTCTGGGAAGTATTTCCTCAGGGTCAGCACACAGAAACTGTAGCCCAGAGGCGAACTCAGCCTCCATCTCAAGCTGGAAGCAGCACTTGGTAATGTGTACAAGTCTCCTCCATGGTTCTGGTGTTGAAGGCATGGAGGGTTCTGGGGAGAATCTGAGGCTTTGCACCCTGAGAATACAGAAGAGTCCATTGGTGAAGGTGCAGCCTCAGTTACAGCAGAGACCTCAGCATACTGGAGATTCCAGAACCATGGGATGACCAAGGGCAGCAGCAGACATGGAGTGGAGCTAGCCTAAGCCTGCAAGACAAGCTGTGTGTGCTGTGGATGGTAGAGCCAGAGTGGTAGAGCTGCCGAAGCCTTTGGAACCCAGAAGATGGTGAGTGAATCTTGAGCTATTTTGCTAGACTTTGATTTTGCTTAAGTGTGCCCGATTCTTCCCTTTTGAACTAAGACAGTATTTAACTTGTTTGGGATTTTACAGGAGACCACAGTTAAGGGACTTTTTAGAGACTGAACTTTTAAAGTGTTTGCATTTTTAAGGCTGTGGGACTCTTAAAGTTGTACTCTTATATGTTGTAATATTAATATTAGCATGAGATCTTAGGGATAAATGGAAAGGTTGTGCTTTAATAGTAATGTGTTTGTTAAGGGGTTTGTGTTGACAATTGTGCTGGATAGCTTTAGGTGTCAACTTGACACCTGGTAACACACCCAGTAACAGGGAACTTCAATTAAGGAATTGTTGCTATTGGGTTGACCTTGTGGACACATCTGTGGGGCATTTTCTTGATGAGTGATGTGGGAGGGCCCAGCCCACTGTGGGCAGTGCCATCCCTGGGCAAGTGAGTATGTGTTAATATAAGAAAGCAGGCTGAGCACAGGCCAGGAGCAAGTCAGTAAGCAGCATTCCTCTGCGGTCTGTGCTTCAGCTCCTGTCTCCAGGTTCCTGCCCTGAGTTTCTGCCTTGACGACCCTCAATGATGGTCTGTGTTGTAACTCCAATAAACCCCTTCCTCCCCAAGTTAGTTTTGGTCAGTGTTTTATCACAGCAATAGAAAGCTAATTAGGACAAGCCTCCACACCCAGTTTTCATTTTTTTTCGTACTTGAACATTACTCCATGATTTTCATAGTCTAGATCACCAAATAAGCTTCTGCTACTGAACATCTATGTTAGTAAATGTTCCTGTGGCAGTTCTAATTTCTCGTCACATAAACATCTTGGTAACTTTTTTTTTTTCCGGAGCCAGGGTCTCCCTGTAGCCCTATCTGGCTTGGAACTCACTATGCAGACCAGACTGGCCTCAATCTCACAGATTTGTTTGCCTCTGTCTCCTGAGTGCCAGATTAAAGGGGTGTACTTTTTTTGTTTTTGTTGTTTTGAGACAGGGTCTCCCTGTAGCCCCAGTTGGTCTAGAACTCACTATGTAGACCAACTTGGCCTTGAACTCAGAGATCTGCCTGCCTCTGCCTCTACCTCCCAAGTGCTGGGACTAAAGGTGTGCACCACCATGCCTGGCAATCTTGTTAACTTTCATTAAAAAAGTTATTTACTGAATCACTTCCTAGAGGAGACCTGTTAGAAACATCATGAGTAAAAGAACCTGATAGATCCTGCTGGTCTTGATTTTATTTGCTTTCTACTTTATCAAAGACGTGTACCATTTTACCAGACTAAACAGTTAAGTGTTGCTCCCTTAGTGATATAGAATGCTCAACCAATGAAATCTATGCAAACATTACAAAATCCAAAGACCTCTGAGATCTGAAACATTTCTAGTTCCAAGAAGTCAATCTGTACTCATTGTTTTGAGGCAGAGTCTCACTATGTAGCCCCAGATGGCCTGGAACTTGCTATGTAGACCATCCCAGGCTGACCTCAATCTTTAGCAACCCACTTGCCTCTGCCTCCTGAGTGCTGAGATTAAAGGCGTGTGCAACCAAGCCTGGCAATTTTTTAAAGATTTAGTAGGTATAAAATGCAGTCTCAGCGGGCATGGTGGCGCACACCTGTAGTCCCAGCACTTGGGAGGCAGAGGCAGGCGGATCTCTGTGAGTTCAAGGCCAGCCTGGTCTACATAGTGAGGTTCAGGCCAGCTGGGGGTCCAGGGAGACCCTGCTTCAAAAAAACCAAAAAAAAAAAAAAAAGGCAGTCTCTCAGGACTTATTGCTTGACATCTGTTTGGTTACTAGGCAGTTGATTAAAATTCAATAAAGGAAATTTATGCATCTAAGATTGATGCTTTGGCTTGATTCAAACTCAACTTTGTATGTGCATGCTTCTAGAACCTCACTGTCTATTGAGTAAATTTAGATTTTTAGATAAATTTAGATTTTTAGACTAGCAGGACGACAGGAGAAAGAATGAAGGAAACAGGGACAACAAAATCAAAGTGACAAGCTTTCAACACAAGCGGCAAATGTTCTAGTCCATTTCCTTATTTGTCCCTTCCTTTCTAAAGTGTGTTCCTCATGCACTCCTGGTCATTATCGCTCCCTTACCAGGTAAATCAACATTCACCACTTTGGTGTAACTGTAGCTCCCATAATTAAATGCTGTAAGAGTCTTCCCATGCTGGGGTATACCTCAGGGCTGAGCATTTGCTTAGCATGTGCGAGGCCCTGGGTCTAGCCTCTTCTACAATAAATAAAATCCTCACTACTAGTCCCTGATCCCTGAATTTGGCCTCCTCTCTCTGAAAGATGGGCATTTTGAGAAAGGCTGAAAGAAGAAAGCTCCTCACAGGGAGAATTTTATTACCTAGCTAAAATCTCAACCCCTACTAGAATCAAGGACAATTTGTAAGTGGCCTAAGCCAACTACAACGCAATTACAACAGGAGAATGTTGACCTTCCTTTCCTACACAAAGTTAGCAGAAAGAAACAGGTTTTGGAGTCAGACATACCTTGTAGACTCCTCATTCATAAGCTTACTGGCTATATCACAGCTTTCTTTTTCTAATTGGTAGGGTCTTATTATCTTACCAGGCGGCCCTGAAACTCACAGCTAGAACTACTGGTGTATACCACTACACCCAGCTCCATGGACACTTTCAAGTTACTTAATGTCACTCATGTAATGAGAATAACAGTCCTACCTTGTTAAGCTTGTTTTGATAATTATGAGGAAATATAACCATGAAGTGACAGTAGAGTGCCTACCAAAAAGCAAGACTCAACAAATGGTAGTTATGACTGGAATGAAAGGGCAATGTCCTGTCTCACCTCATCACATATGTCCATCTCAATACTAGCTGGCAATTACCACAACAATAAGGTAATACATAGTAGCTGTCTAGCATTTTGTAGCAAGCACTGTTTTAGCTATGTGCTGCTTTTATTTCATCCAACTTCTAAAGAAGCCCATGAAATAACCGCATCCTATTGTATAAAGAAAGTGAAATGCTTGCTAGCCCTAGCCTAATCCAGTCAGTAATCTGCATACCCAGGAATTTCAATCTAGGCAAGCTCAGGGTTTTAATGACTTTTCTATTTTGTCTAAGAGCTGAAGGCAGAAACAGTGGTACCTTCATTTTTGTTTCTGAAATGTAACTAGTGTACGTTGCCTGGGTATAATATTAATATGCACTTTCCAGATTTCCTTCTGTCTGTCCAGACAACCTCAACCATTGCTTACCAGTATCCCACCCTCTCACCCCCAAGGGAAGGTTTGTTTGCTTTGCATAGACATACTCCTAAGCATTACCTTTATTCTTTCCATTTCTTCCATTTGAATCTTTCTATGCTGAATACACATAAATTACACACCACATAAGAAACATCATGACAGTTAAGTTGAAGTTTTGTTCTGACTCATTGTGGTAGTTAGCACTGATGTCTCATAACTCCCTCAAGATCTGACATTAAAATTATGTTAAAGCGTCTATTCTCCTCACGTGGGGAGTAAGTCACTCATTACCAGAAGGAAAGGCTTATTCCCATGCCTGAAAAATGTTTACTATTTCTACTGTATAAAAGAATGAATCAACAAGGCTGGAATTACCAGAGACTTTCATTTCTTCTCTCTCATCAGGATTTATCTTTTCTACTGCATGGGATACAGTGCATTCCAAGACATCTGGAAACTCCTATAATAAACAATGACATTTATAATGAATATAAAATTAGCATTTTTGATTATAAAATTTCTTATTGTCATAAAGCACATCAGAAGCAAAGAACCCACAGAACAGGATTCTTGAGTCCTAATGGGCTTTACAAGTGTTGTAAAATATAGATACAAAGGTTACATGTGTGTATTCTCTGGGAAAAGGAATCTCATTTTCTTGTATCCACGAGTATTTATAACTAAAATAAAAATAGAAAAACACACAAGCAGAGGATTAGGATTATGTGAAGTTCAAACCACAAGCACAGTAAATAATTTTACTTAAAAATTAATCAGTGAAAAAAATACTGGTTTTGAGTAATGACAATCTTTTAAAAACTTATTAATCACCAAGTTAAAAAAAAACTTTTCATTCCTTTGGATTTTAGTCATTGAGGGGACTGAAGAGATGGCTTAGCAGTTAAGAGCACTGGCTGCTCTTACAGAGGACCTGGGTTTGGTTCCCAGCATCCACACAGTGGCTAACAAGTGTCCTTAACTTCAGTTCTAGGGAATCCAATGCCCCCTTCTGGCCTCCATGGGTATTGTATGGATGTGGTGCACTTTAATACATGCAGGTAGAAAACCCATACACATAAAAGAACCTTTAGGGGCTGGAGGGAAGGCTCAATGGTTAAAAGCACGGGCTGCTCTTGCAGAGGACCTGAGTTCAATTCCCAGCACCCACAGGTGGATTACAACCCTCCTAACTCCAGTTCTAGGGGATCTGACACCCTCTTCTGACCTCTGAAGGCAATGTAGACACAGGTGCACGTACATGCAGACAATACACTCATACACATAAAATAAAAATATTTTTAAAAGAACCTTTAAGGTCACTGAGCTTTAAGGGAACTTAGTTGTTTTTTAATTTTTTAAAAATATTTTTAAAAATTATTTTTATTTTATGTGTATGCGTGTATTACCTGCATGTAGGTAAGTGCACCTGTGTTGTGCAATGCCCTCAGAGGACAGAAGAGGCTGTCGGATCCCCTGGAACTGGAGTTATGGACAGTTGTTAGCTGCCATGTGGGTGCTGGGATTCGAACCCGGGTCTTCTGCAAGAACAGTGTTCTTAACTGCTGTGCTCTCTCTCCAGCCCCAATTGTTCTTTTCTTAGTAGACTGTTTTAGAGCAGTGGTAGGTTCACAGCAATACTGAGCAGAAGGAACAGAATACTCCTCATTTACCTCCTGCTTCCCCATCAACAGACCCATCAGTGTGCTACATCTGGGATCGTTTGGAATTGCATGTGCCACCTTCTCAGATGGCTTTGTCACTTAGTCATGTGCATTTCTGGTTCCTTTATGTCTTTTCCTGCTTCACAGCTCACTGCTTTCAGCACGCAGTAATTATCCCATTGTCCGAATACACCATAGTTTAGATATGCATTTGTCTACCGAAATCATCTTGGCTACTTCAAACTGTTGTCAATCATTATATAAGCATCCATGTGTAGGTTTTTTTTTATATGCATAAATATTCAACTCCTTTGGGCAGATACCAAAGAATAAGACTGGTGGGTCATATGACAGTAGTATATTCAGTTTTGTAATTGCAAAGTTTTTTAAAAAGTATTTTATTTTCTGTGTATGCATGCATTGCCTGTATGTAGGTAAGTGCACCCATGCCGTGCAATGCCAGAGGAGGACAGAAGAGGCCATTGGATCCCCTGGAACTGGAGTTACAGACAGTTGTTAGCTGCCATGTGGGTGCTGGGATTCGAACCTGGGTCTTCTGCAAGAACAACCAGTGTTCTTAACCACTGAGCCATCTCTCCAGCCCCAATTGCAAAGATTTTAAGCTAAAACATTTGAGCATATTTTTTTTTAAAAGGTAAGGACCATTCCAGTATATTACAATGAATAATCTGAGGATTAATGATAAAATGATAGTATATATCAGTCAGAAATACATTACCTTGTATAAGTGTGTGGGTTTTTTGTTTTTGATGGGGTCTCAGTATATAGCCCTGGCTGGCCTGGAACTCGCTTGTTAGCCAGGCTTGTCTTGAAATTCACCTATGGAGTGCTGGGATTAAAGGTGTGTACCACCATGCCCAGTCTTGCATAATAAGATTTAACCAAATAATATGGTCTTATGACTCCTGCACACATTACAAAACCCAGCACAGATTAATTTACAGCATTGACTAATCAGGCACAGATAGAAAAGATGGTCATTTAGATACACAGAGATTAATCAAAGACAATTTCTGTGTAGCAGTTATAGTGTTAAAAAACCTGCAGTATGCTCAAGAGATCATGTCTTTCCAGCATGTATCTTCTGTATTGTTTTGTTTAAAACAAGTCTCACTATGTAACCAAAGCTGCCCTGGAAATTTCTATGTAGCCCAGGTGGCTGGCCTTGAACTCAATTCTCTTGCTTCAAGCCTCCCAAGTGCTGAGATTATAGGTACATGCCATGATGGCTGGTTGCTCTCCCATACTTTTAAAGTAGTATGTGATTAAGTATGAGCCTTTGGCTGAGTTGAATTTCAGAGCAGTTACAGTTATTGTGTCTGTTAACATTTTGAAAACAAACATGTACTGACATTTAATGAAATACAGTTCCTTACTGTCTCACCAGAAACTGACATTATTGGGATGATGTTCTACCAAAGCTATCTACCAATCAAGGCTCATAATCATTGTACTAGACCAAATTCTAACTACAGCAGAACACTGATGGGTGAGGACAGTGTGGTGGGAATTAAGCAGGAGAATCCTAATGAAGAAGTGACTAGAGTCCAGATACTCTGCTTTATGCCTCGTCCTACTGGATCAGACTGCCATGTCAGAAGAGCCACGGAGGGACTTTGTGGCTAACTGCCTCTGTGGCTTCTCTCATCAAGTTGAGGAAATTGACTTCTTTCTTACTTCACTTCCCCTTCAGCGTGCATGATTTCTGCATTCACATTCCGAAACTTACCCTGGCCAAATCAGGGCTGATCTGGGAACTCCATTCATTCAAGGTCTTTTGGATACAATCTCGAAGCTGCAGAAAGAATGCATTTTTCAAAGTTGATCAAAAGTTCTTTGCTTCAATAAAGATGCATTAGTTTTGGGTAAGTTGAGAAGGGAAAAAAGATATGACATCTTAATCATATTTAGGCCCCCACCCCTATTTGTACCCCACATAGCCCACCCACTGGATTTCCTATATTATTCTCTTAATCCACAAACATTCTTGACTGAAAGCAGTAGTCTACTTATATTTAGGGTGATTTTGTATCATTGAAATGTAAAGCCATTAAAGCATTCATAAAGAAACAAAGTGATTTCAAGAATAAAGTTATAAAAGGGGAACTTGGACCAGGTTATGGTGGTACATGACTAATTCCAACATCCAGGAAGTAAAGACAAGAAGATCTTCTGGGCTACATAGTTGAGAACTTGGATTAAACATGGAGAATCTAACTAGAATTCACAGCACTCAACTGGCACTATTCTCTATTTCGCCAAAACAAGGAAGGGCTAGAGAGATGATCAGTGGTTAAGAGGACTGGCTGCTCTGGCAGAGGACCCAGGTTTGGTTCCAGCACCACATCAGATAACTGATAATGGCCTGTAACCCCAGTTCCAGGGGATATGACTCCTCTTAGTCTCCATGGGCACCTGCATGCATGTGCTGCACATACCAGCAGGCACACGTATACACTCATAAATAAAAATTGAAAACAAGCAACAAAAAGTATGGCCAGAGGAACTTTTATGTTAGATTCACCTGTGGTATACTACTAACAATTCAAACCTAGTCTAGGAATACAGCTCAGTGACAGAGCAGTTGCCTAGCATTTATGAGTTCAATTCCCACCTCAAAACAAATGTTCAAACTCCTAAGCCCAATCATAGATCTGATGACTCCAAGAGCAGCTAGAACTTTAACAAGCATCCCAAGTAATTGCTATGTACTCTACAGTTTGAAAACTACAAGGAGATAGATGTATCTTGTACAGGTCAACTTACATAATGATAATTCATATTTTCTAACATTTGTCTTCAGTTTTTTTTAACATAAAAATGTATATATGTGCCAGGTGTGGTGGTGCACACCTTTAATCCCAGCACTCAGGAGGCAGAGGCAGGTGGATCTTTGTGAGTTCGAGGCCAGCCTGGTCTACATAGTGAGTTCCAGGCCAGCTGGAGCTACAGGGAGACCCTGTCTCAAAAAGACAAAAAAAAAAGTATATATGTACATATATTGGTCTTTTTTGAGACAGGCTCTTCCTGTAGCTCCAGCTGGCCTGGAACTTGCTCTGTAGACCAGACTGGCCTTGAACTCACAGAGATCACCTGCCTCTGCCTCCTGAGTGCTGGGACTAAAAGTATATGCCATCATACCTGGCTTAACATGAAACAATTTTATTAACAACAGTATGCTGTAAATTCATTAAATTATCATTTATCTCATGTCAGAGTATTTCAAACTTGAAAGTGGTCCCAAATAAGACATTCACTTAATGAATGAAGACCTAGGTATACATAACAAAAAAAATTCACAAAATGCTATTTATTGCTACATGCCAAGCATGCTAGTGACTTTGGTTAGGAAAAACATGCCATTTTATCATTCACTAAACTTATTTTTAAAATTCTTTATTACACTGCCTTATTGCGTGTATGCACAAGCACTTTTGTGCATTCGTATGGAAGTCAGAGGACAATTTGCTGGACTCAGTTCTCTCCTACCACACGGGTCCCAGGACTCAAGCTCAGGTCGTCTAGCTTGGAGGCAAGTGCCTTTACCCACTTGCCATCTCACTGGTCCAGCTCTAACCTTTTTATTACTAATTTGTCAACTCTACCAGTTTCAAATTACTGCTTAAAGATAACCATAGTCACAGTGGCTCACATTCTATGGATGGGCAATCAAAGGAGTAACTAAAAGCCCCTGAATTGCAAAAAGCACTTTCTTAATAGAGACAAACTGAACTCATTATCTAAACTATAATTGCTTATGATAAAGGTTGATATAACAGGCACTTTACCACTTCTTAGTACAGATCATTACAAGGGACAAGTGGTATACCCATTAAAAGTTGCAGAGCAATCCACAATAATGTGCCACCCACAATAACTCACTTGGATTCGTTACAAGGTCTATATTGTTATGCAAAGCAGAGTTGTAATCAAATTGAAATCAGTAAATAAAAATTACTGAATAATCCTTTTTCATACAGACTTACAGGCCAATATTTTCCATTCTTTTAGTTTTTAAATTTTTCATTAGCTTACAAAGGACTAAGTTTCATTATGGCTTTTTTCTTTATTTTTTTTTTTTTTTACAGGGTCCACAGGGTCTCCCTAGTACCAGCCTGCCTGGAACTCCCTACGTAGATCAGGCTGGTCTTACTTTCACAGAGAGCCACCTGCCTCTGCCTTCCTCAGGTCTAAGATTAAAGGTGTGTGCCACCATGCCCAGCTTCTTTTTTGATTTTTAAAAATTTTATGAGAGTTTTGCTTGCATGTATGTAAGTGCATCAAGTGTGTAAAATGCCCACAGAGGTCAGAAGGAGGTGTTGAATCCCCTGGAACTGGAGTTAAGGACAACTGTTAGCCACCATGTGAGTGCTGGGAACGCACATGGTGCAAGAGCAGTCAGTGTTCTTAACTACTGAGCCACCTCTCCCAATCCCATTATGGCATTTTTCAAACAAAATTTGTTGATTCCTCCTTCCCATGTGCTCCCCCTCCCTTGTTCCCTCTCTTCCCCAGGAGCCTTCTTTCTACTTTCTTGCCACATGTGACCTTTTGCCCCTCCCCCACCTTTCTCAACACCTCCAGTTCCCTGCTCCAGGTCTATCTTGCTTCATAGTATCTACTCTCACAACTCATTTACATACATACAGTGTATGGATGTGAATAAGTCAGTACTTTTTTATATTTTTAAGTGTATGAGTGTGTTGCTTGCATGTACGTTGGTGCACCCATATCATGCAATACCCGCCAAGGTCAAAAGAGGGCATCAGATCCCCTGGAACCGGAATAGATGGTTGCTAGCCACTCTGTGGGTGCTGGGAGTCAAACCCTGGTCCTCTGCAAGAGCAGTCAGTGCTCTTAACTGCTGAGCCATCTCTCTAGCCCCAGTAGTCTCTTAAAAATTAGTAAAAGTTGAAGCAGGAGGAGAGATTTAGAGGTTAACAATTCTACAAGTAGTGTCTTGGCTCAAATCTTGGGGGAAATTCTAAGGTTATTTTCTTCTGGAAAGATGACTGGTTTACAAACGTAAGGTTCTGATGAATTCCTCAATCCAAGAATAAGTTTATTGTTAGAATAGTGGCCCCTTTTCTGAATCCATTTCTTAGATCAGTCTTGGATTCTGGACAGATTATTGAAAAGTCCCAAAGTTACTCAGTTACTTGAGAAATTCACTATATCATAAACCTAATGATATTACATATTATCTATACTGACTGAACATTCACCTTATATATATTTTTTCTTTTTATTGTTACAATACACATTACCACAACTTAGCCTCTAACAGATCTGGAATTGTTTAACAACTTAGAAGATACCACACAATTCAATTGGTCAAATGCCCACCATGCATGTCCTTTTGTGGGGGTGAAGAGAGTCTGATGTAGCCCAGGCTGGCCTCTGATTCACTAAAGAGCAAGGATGACCTTGAACTTCTGATCTTCCTGCGTCTACTTCCCAAGTTCAAGGATAATAAGTGACCATCACCAAGCCCAGCTTTCCTGTCCAGCCTTTTGACTTTGCAGCACTATCAAATACAAAGCAGGCTCCACACAGTAGAATTACAAATAGGTATCTTATAATATTTTAAGTATGTTTACAATATGCTGGCTGGTAGGGTGTAGTGGGTCATGCCTTAATCCCAGCACTGGGAGGCAGAAGCAGGTGGATCTCTGAGGTGGAGGTCAACCTGGTTTACATAGGGAGTTCCAGGTCAGCCGGGGCTACAGGGAGACCCCGTCTCATAAAAACCAAACCCAAAAACAATGTGTTAGCTACATGTAGCCCAAAGGCTGTATGATAGATAGGAATAATTGGGTCTCATGGTGACCCATTTTTTTTTTAAAGTATTTGATACTAGTTTAGATCCTCAGCATTGTTAAATAAGAGTAAATTTTTAAAAATTTATTTTTATTTTATGTGTATGCGTGTATTGCTGCATGTAGGTAAGTGCACCCGTGTCGTGCAATGTCTGTGAAGGTCAGAAGAGGCTATCGGATCCCTTGGGACTGGAGTTATGGACAGTTGTTAGCTGCCATGTGGGTGCTGGGATTTGAACCCGGGTCTTCTGCAAGAACAACCAGTGTTCTTAACCACTGAGCCATCTCTCCAGCCCCAAGAGTAAATATTTTTTAAACCCAATATTTGATTTCATAAAATTCTAGCGAAGACAAAAATCTTGACAGTAGTCATACAATTAAAAAATGGAATTAGAGAACTTTTAAGAAATATAACTGAGGGGCTAGAGAGATAGCTCAGAGGTCAAGAGCACTGGCTGTTCTTGCAGAGGACCCAGTTTGATTCCCAGCACCCACTTGGTGGCTAACAACCATCCATAACTCCAGTTTTAGGGTAATCCATCGCCCTCTTCTGGCCTCCACAGGAAATGCATGCATGTGGTACATTTATATATATACAGGCAAAACTCTCACATAAAACATAACAATTTTTTAAATGTACTTGAACTATCTACCTAATGTATAAATTTGTTTTAGTCATGTGATTTTCTTTCTTTTTTCTTGTGGCAACTGCTAGGCCGGCAGACACATCAAGATAAAACTAATACTTCCTTCCTGCCCAGTGGCTGTCAGAAACTCATTGAGCAGATAATGACACAAACTGTGCTTTCTATGAGAAGTGCATGGCTGAAGTTGCTGCTGATGCCCGGGGTGAAGAGTGGCAGGATTATGCAGTCTGAATCAGTGGTGGGAAACAAGGTTTTCCCATGAAGCAGGGGGTCTTGACCCACAACAGAGGGTGTCTGCTTTTAAGGAGCATTCTTGATATAAACCAAGGAGAACTGGAGAAGGCACAAGCATGTCTGTTTAGGGATGCTTTGTAGATACCAATCTGAGTGTTCTTAACTTGGTTACTGTGAAAAAAGGAGAAAAGGTTATTTCTGGACTGACAGATAGTACTGTGCCTTGGCTGTTGGGGCCCAAAAGAACCAGGAGAATCTGAAAACTTTTCAGTCTCTCTAAAGAAGATGTTCACCAATATATTGTTAGAAAGCCCTTAAATAAGAAGGTAAGAGGCCCAGGACCAAGGCACCCATGATTCAGCATCTTGCTACTGCACTTGTGCTAAAACACAAAGTTGGACAGATTGCCCTGAAGAAACAACACACTAAGAAAAATAAGGAAGAGGGCAGATTATGCAAAGCTTTTTGCCAAGAGAATGAAGAAAGCTAAAGAAAACTGCCAGGAACAGTCTACCAAGAGACTTAGGCCATCCTCACTGGGAGCTTCTACTTCTGAGTCTAGAAACAAATGAGACTCTTTAAGAGTAATAAATAAATGATCAGATCTTGAAAAAAAATAATTTTTTTCCAGTTTCCTTAATCTCTTTAGCAGGTTGAACTGTTTCACATCCCAATTTGGAACTCTGGTTGTTAGAAAATTCTTTTTGTAAGGGCTGAGGTGATGGTTCAGGCAGTAAAGTCCCTGTGATAGAAGCATGAGGACCTGAGTTCAGAACCTAGTACCCAGGTAAAAACGAGGCATGATGGTGGGTACCTGAAACCCTAGCACTAGGAGGGTGGAGGAGGTGGAGACAGCCACTCTAGTTAACTGGTGAGATCAGGGTTAATGAGAGACCTGTCTGAAAAAACAAGATTGAGGAAAACATCTGTCATCAACCTCTGGCCTCCCAGTCACACACATTCTTCATGTAGAAACAGAACATGCCTATCTTATGCTAAGTAACCTGTCATAGTTTCCTACAACATGCTACTACTTCTTGGGAGTCTTCTCAATGTTTTCTAGCATCTTTACTTTTGTCTTATTCTTATGAAATGTCCTAAATACTGCAGGCCATAATTAATCCTTTGAGAAAAGTTTTTGTTTTTGTTTTGTTTTTGATCCTTTTCAGACAGGATCTCTCTGTAGCCCCATCTGGCTTTGTACTCATAGAGATCCACTTGCCTCTGCCTCCTGAGTGCTGGGATTAAAGGCATGTGCCACCACACCCAGCTCTAAGCAAAGTTTTTTAAACTGTACATTAGTGCATTAAGAATCCATTTTTAGGGGGCTGGAGATATGCTCAGTGGTTAAGAGAACTGGTTGCTCTTGTAGAGGACCCAGGTTTGGTTCCCAGCACCCACATGGTGGCTATCAATTGTCTATAACTCCAATTCCAAAGGATCTGACACACTCTTCTGGCTTCCACTGGCATTGTACACATGTGGTGCAGTTACATACATGCAGGCAAAACACTCATACACATAAAAATATTTAAAATTTAGAAAAGAATTTTTACAAAGTACAATAGGGCAGAAAAAAGTAACACTGTATACAAGGGTTAATATCTGTTTCTAATATACTGATACATTTTATTCATCTAGTTCATAGTTTTATATTTATATGTATTGCTGTTTTCAGTCAAAAAACTTTGAAAGCCACTAGAGTGTGTTGTGAGATAAAACATTTCACAAGCCAGACGTGGTGGCGCACACCTTTAATCCCAGCAGAGGCAGGCAGATCTCCGAGTCTGAGACCAGCCTGGTCTACATAGTGAGTTCCAGGACAGCTGGGGCTATAGGGAGACGCTGCCTCAAAAAAAAATTTTTTTCACTCTATACATTAATACACAAGTGAAATGTTATACTGAACTCAGTGCTGGAAGAAAGTAAGGCTCTATATATACCAAGATACAGAGGTACTTACCTGTAGGAGAAATAGGTAAAGTGGGGCAGTTTAAACAAAACATACAAACTTGGATGGAACCTCAATACAGATCAGAGCAAGGGATTCTGGTTCCTAAATGTGACTGGTGTTGGCCCTCAACTTATACTTGGAGGCCAGGTTTGCAGTCTGGCCTCACCATAAAAGATCAAACTGTATCACAGATGTTAATGCTAGTTTGACATAGATTAGGAAATGTATTCTTTTAATCCAGATTTTTTAACCTTTTGGATGAAACAACCAGTCGATAAATGCCTGTGTGTTGAATATTTAAATAAAATATCTTTTAATTCTCAGAATATGATGAGGAAGGTATTGCCCAAGATTTAAAGCTACAGATATAGAAAAGGCAACTTTCTAAAATTCACATAACAAAATTTTATTTTTGTAGCATTTATATTTATTTTGAGGAAAGATCTGTTTGAGGTTGGTCTCAAACTGGAGAACCTTCTGCCTGTACAGGAATGCACAGCTACACCCAGTTTATTTTTATTTCCAATACATAATTGTACATACTTATTGGGAAAGTTTTTAAGTGCTAAAATTGTTCCCTACTACCAGTATCCCTCCACAATCAGTTGCACAGGCCATGGAGAACCACCGGCTCAGGAATGGGCCAGCAATACATGTTAGGTTTACAATTCCAGATTAATCTCTGCCACTTCCAACTAGTGACTCATTTTGAGGCAACTAAAACATGACATTAATTTCCAGTAAGAAAAATACATCTATTCCAAACCCAAATTCAGAGCAATAGAGAAACTGATGTCAAATTGTCAGTGCATTATGCCTATATTCCTTCACCTGGCTGGAGTGGGGGGGAGGTTGATGCAGCGATATAGGGACTCCGTCCCACTCCCCAGTCAGGGAGAGCTGTGCCATCAGCTAGAGCCTGGCAGAGGCGTCCAGCCCCGTCCCCGGTGCAGGTGCACCTGCTGTTTACAGGGCGCGTTGCCCCCAGCAGCGGGGACGCTGGCCGCAGACTCCCGGTAGGCCAAGCCTGGCCCGCCCGCACCTGCCGCAGCCCGGGGCCCGCTCACCTCCTCGCTGTGTGTGGATGGGCACTTTTTCCGCAGACGGCCCCAGTTGAGCAGGTTCCCGGTCTGCAGGTGCAGGGTGCTGGCCCGCGCCAGCAGCTCCCCGGCCGCGCTGCTGTCGGTGCCCATGGCAGCGGTCGCCCGAGGGGGCCCGGCGGAGACCCGGCCGCGGATCGGGAGCGGGGAGACGGCTGCCTGCGAGGGCGCGGAGCCCCAGGCCCGACAGGCAAGCGCGAGGTTGCCGACTCCGCGCGACTGAACCCGGTGTGCGCTCGGGCCCAAGGAGGCCGGCGGCGGAGAGGCGGCGGGGGAGCGAGGCGCTGGCGGGGACCGGGCCTCGGCGTCTGCGGCCGCCACTGAGAGCGGACACCCAGCCGAGGGAGCTGTTTTCTGGAAGACAATGACTAAGCAGAAATCGCGGCCGAGAAAGTGCTTCGTAACCGTTACTCGGCAGGGCAGGGGCGGGGCGCGGACGGCGGGCTAGGCGCAGGCCCGCGGGTGACTGGCCCTCGGCCTGTGGCGGGCGTGGTTCCGGGCGCCGGGCGGGCGGGGGCGCGA